CGTCTGTTAACCATCTAGCAGGAATGGCAGATGAATTCATGATGCTCTCGGTATGTTTCGTAATCGAGTGTACGTCTGTACATGACGAGGCATCGCGGATAGGTCGGGGGTACAAAAAAACGGTTAACGGTATTTGGTGGCCGGTAACCGACGGTTGGGAAAGCCGGCCTCGTCCAACAAAGTGACCTGACCTTGCTCACTGCTCAGACACAACAGCATGACGATTCCTTCTAGGCAACTGAACCAGCCTATGAACAGCTGACGACTCACGACTCGTTGGATTTTCAACGTCAGCAAAGCCCTACCGAAAAAAGTTTGATTTGGTGGCCATGCACCTCCGCCGTTGTCGGCTTCACTTTGAGGTTTGCCGGTTTCTGAATCGTTGATAGGTAGACAACTTCAATGACTGGCCCGCCGAGGCAGAGTCGATCCCCCACCCAGTGCTGTGATTGCAATTCGACCACGATTGTACATGCAGACCTGGGAAGCGCTGGATTAGGGAAACCGTTCTGCAGGAGAAGGCATCAAATGCTGCCGGAGCGAATGAAAACCTCCGAACCGGCCCCAGTGCCTTGCGTCTCGACCACACCATCACCGGCTCTGCAACTTGTGCATTTCTACCAGCTTGGAAGCTCTTGCTGTTCTTCTCGACGTGGTTCTGGCCTCAGTTGAATGCTCCAACCGAGGAAAGGTGACGCAGTGGGGAAGGTTGGATAATCTCCCCTCGAGGCGTTCCATGCACGGCGATGAAAAGAGGTAGACGATGAGAATGGGCTTGCCACACCGCCTACTAAAGCATGCGAGTGCTGCCAATGTGGAGTTTTCTATGCCAGTCTGCTTCCGACATGCACAGCAGTGGCTATCATTAATCAGCACCTTGGGGGAGCGGAAGCCGGCGAGACTGGTCGTGAGGTCACTGCTGTGGTTCAGCTCCCACAAGGTGACCCCGAAGAAGAAGCTGGGTGGGTGACCGAGTGTGGTGGTGGTCCGGCTGAGAAAGACGTCACTGTGTTAAGGGTCATAGCCATAATTTGGCCCCTTCATCAACCACGTGAGGGAGAGGCCGGCTTGTAAAACTTGCCCTGCCTGCCATCTATCTCCTGTGATCGGGGTTCGAGTTCTGACACATATCTGCAGGAGGTAGACATGCGGCAAAGCGTCCCGTACTCGAGCATGCGGAACAACGCTGGCAATGCGGCCGAAATAGCAATTGTGCGGCATGGAAGCCAGTTTGCCGGACCTGCTGACAAGAGATGTTTCGCCCAGAGGTTGCAGAAAAGCAAAAGCAAAGCTTCTGCTGTGGCTCCTGAGACTGCCGAGAGGATTTCGTCAGTTGCGGCTCTATCCACCGTGTTCGCCATGCAAACTCGATAAATATCCTCAAGAGGGGTCCTCCGTTTTGCCGTTCGATGCTTTCAAGCGCTGGAGGTTCATCTCCATGGGGTAGGAGGCCATGTAATTACTGTTTCTCGTGGTTGGCCCAGCCCTTCGGTTGGCTGTTGAAACTCGGAGGGGGGGGGAAGGGGGGGCCGCTGAAGGGAGCTTCACAAGATGTCGCGCAAAAAGCGTGTCATTGAAAAACAGACAGCGGTTGATCCGACCAGTCATGTGAGGATACCCCCCGATCCGAAAATCCCCACCTTTCTTCAACAAAAATGTTTGCTGTTGTTGCAGTAAGCGCACAGTGTTGCATTTCGATAACACACTGAAGGTATGCTGAAAGCTTTGGCATATCGTATGCTATGTCAAGTCTTGTGATGACGGACTGCCATGGTTGTAGCCTTCTGGTTGACTCTTCCACCTTCGAATTTGATCGACTCACCCTCTTCTGACATGGAAAAGATCTGGTGGTTGGGTGTCATTGTTCAGCTCCCCGAGCCATGGAACAGGCGAAAGACAACTGGATAGGGTGGATGGAGTGGTCTCCCGGCAGCACGGTCCCATTGGCCTCGCGCCGCGACAAGCCAGGTTTTGACCGCTTCGTCCAGATCTCTAGGCCGGCACCAGTGGGGTATTCGTAGCCTCCTCGAGAAACGCAGAAACCACTTCGGGTTGTTTCCCCTGAATTGTCCTTCCTGACTCGCGTCTCCGAAATATTATTACCAGAGACAAAGACCGGGCTTCAGGGTCCAGTGCCTGTACCTGAACCCGAACGCAAAAGAGCTGCCGATATCATCGTGTTGTTGTTATTCAAGGCCAAGAAGTTGCGCGCATTTTTGACCGAACCCGAGATGAAGGTTAGCAAACCCCCCATTCCAAGACGGGTTTGGTCGGCCCGTGGGCAATTTTCAAATTTGGCAGCACAGTTGGAGGGCCAGTTTTCCGGGTCCTGAAGGATGCTGGACGGGGGTACGTACCGGCCATGTTGTATCGGCCGTTGGAAACTGTCGCTTGTAGCGGTGTTTGTTTTTCATGAGAGTTTCAAGCTTTCAACTTGCTGGTACTGGCGTCGAGAACGCTTCGAGTCTTCAAAGTCTACTGATCTTCAAGCACAAGACGGTGGATTGTTGACAGATGGCACTGATGTCAAGCCTGGAGTTGGCTTGGGGCTGATGCTGGCTAGCCTGTGGCTGACAGAGCCACCATCTCGGGCTGTGAACGGTGAACTGAAGAGAAGGACTCATGAATCTGGAGGTTGAAGCGCCGCTTTCAATCAGGAACAAATTTGGAGGATTGGACGGGATGTTCACATGGGAAATGGAAGGCTTGCGTTGTTCGAGCCCTTCTCCTCATCCGATATTGCACTTCTATTATTGATGTACCCGTGGCCCTGAGACAGGGACATTGGTACTTTGGGAAACCGGCCCCTCTGGTAATTATGGAAATTACCTGGGGCCACGCGGTCATGATCGATGAGGCTGGGGCTGCACCCCGAGGGAGTCGCAGTAGAAATCTCATCCCACGCTGATGTGGGACCAAGAGTTGCACTGTTGTTTGCCTAGCAGTTTTGGGTGAGGTTTCGCGCTGCCACTGTTTCCTCTCTAATGACGGGGGCTGGATCTCGAAGACCACACAATTTCAAGAGGCTCGTGTTTGCTTCATGACAAAGCTCTCTCTTACGAGTCAATCAAGCAGAGGGCATCAGGGCATTAGCACGGCTAGCTCCTGACGACCCGGCTGCCTGGATGATCGATTTATTTCTCCTTCTGTACAAAAGACCACTTCTGGGAATCTGGAATTTGGACAAATTGGTGCGAGGGCTCTTGACCAACCCTGAGTGGGGGGACAAGACAAGAGGATGGCTGGTGCTCGTGTTCCACGCCCCTTCGATGGTCCGTTACCCAGCCCTTGCTCCCTGTTTTGGTGTACCCGTGGCGTGCCGAACGGGGCGGGTCCTGGTTGAGAAACGAGAAACGGTGAGTGGATGTTGACGACAAATTGGCCACCCTGGAGATGGCGGTTGTCGTGCACGATTGGCAAGCCCTGATCATTTCCGTCATACCGTGCAGCAGACCAGCAGCAGAGAGTCGCACCAGTTTCTGATGCACACTCCCCCCAGCCAAAAAAACGCCTCTCAGCACACCGCAGCGCCTTCCAGGTTGTGAGTGGGCGCGAGGATTCGCAGGAGCAGCATGACCACGGCGGCCACGGATGGTGATGGGAGTGACGGGAAGTGAATCAAGCGCTCATTGTCAACCTGGCCCCAAGGACCCGCGTCTGCTGACGATGGATAGTTGTTAGCAATAGCTGGTGTCTGCTATTGTCCATTGTCTATGACTTCTCGTCAATAAGGTTGCTGATAGGGTTGTAGAGGCACAGAATCATAGAATCATCAGGAGAGTTGGGTCGTGACCAATGACGGGAATGATTTTGGAGAAGTGACTTTTTTACTCCAAGCCTGCGCCCAGGCCACCCGGCGGTGGGTCACTAACAGAAGTCTTCCTCGCCCCATCAGCCAGCCAGCGTGCTCCCAGTGAACCCACCCGCTGCTCCGCTTCGCTAGCTCCCAAATCCCAGCGGCATCACTCGGCCCAGCACACTTTTTTTCCCTCCCCTTCTATCTCCAGGTCCCTCCTCCCCCTTCTCACCTCCCCCAACACCACGCCGTGCTCTCCTCCATTCCCCCCCTCGACCATCGCAGAATCCGCCAAGCATCGACCGACCGACCGACGAACGACCAAATTCAGTTTTGTGTTGTTCTTTGTTGTTGTTGTCACGACAGGATTCGGGTGCCGTTGGCCTTCGTTGTCTCGAACGGAATCCGGGAAAACAGCGCCTCCTCAGCGAGCGGTTTTTTCGGCCTTGGGTGTGTGTGTGTTGTTGTTTCGCCCACCAGCACAACAGCAACTCTTTTGGAGGATACCCGTCACTTCAACACCAGCGCGGATCGCGTGGTGCCATCACTTTTTTCCTTTAGGTCAGTACCTTGTTCTTTAAGACGTTGGTCGCCGGACCCTCGCTGTCGGAAGAGGCGTCTTGAGTTTCGACCAACGACCACCACCACGCGCCCTGTCCGCCCATCCTCTCTTGTTTTGGTCTCCAGTTCTCAACGTTGACCTCGGCCACCCGCACCGGGCCGTAGTGTCATCAGCACACGCCACCGATCTACCACCCATCTGCCCGCTGCCTGGGAACAAAACTCGTCTCGAGGGGACCCGGAAACGTCTTTCGCCTTTGCCAGTTGCTGCTTTTTTTTTGCCGGGGGTGTCGGACTGACCTTTTAATTCAATGCAGTGCTTCGACATTCCCTTTTCGTTTCGATCCTAGCCTTTTCCCCGTTTCGACAGGCTTTCATTTGAGCCTTTGCTTGCCATCGCGAATTCGCAAGGCAACCAAGTCGCTGATCGACACCAACTCATCACTGTAGAGGATAAGACCTACATTCTATGGCTCAGAAAGCTCAGTAGATCTCGATCGCACCTCTCCCTTCGAGATCACCTCCTACGACACTTCGTGTTCTGGAAATAGAGCGCCTAGCCCGCCTTAGTCCAGCTTCTCGAGGCAGTTCGCCAACTCAGATCTACACTCTCCACCCTCCGATCTTGACTCATTCCATCAACATGCCTGGAGGCGTTTGCGCTGTTCTCGACTACGATGTCGAGCTCATGGCCGACTATGTTTCCGAGATGGCCACCCGCGTGGTGATGCCACGGAACACGGTGAACCCGGCTTTCCGGAAGTACGTTTCGGGGATACTGTCTTCGACTCGTCTTCCCCGGACTACCATTCTGCTCGGTCTCAACTACCTCGCCAAGCGCATCAACATGATGCCCGCTGGTGCAGTCCAGAACGAGGGCGAGATTTGGGGTCTCCTGACCATCGCTCTTCTTCTCGGAAGCAAGTTTCTTGATGACAACACTTTCCAGAACAAGTCTTGGTCGGAGGTCAGTGGCATCCCAGTTCGCGATTTGAACACTCTGGAATACGAGTGGTTGGCTGCCATCGGCTGGGTTCTCTACGTCAATCTGGACGAGAGCAAAGACTACAATGCCTGGCTCGACAATTGGACCGAGTGGAAGGAGACCAAGAAGCGTCAGCAGCACCAGGCCAGCCGCGAACGTCTTGCTGCTCTCGTCACCCCCATCGATACCGACGTTTCCCGTGCCCGCAACCAGCACGTGTACTCCTCTTGGCATCAGCAGCAAGTTGCCGAGTATGAGCGCCTGTCGAGCATGAAGCGTGGCCAGGCTACCCCTCCGGCCTACAGACACGAGCAAGCCTCGTGGGGTTATATGGCGTGGCCTCAGCCTACTGCTCCCTTGACGCCTCCCGATTCTGGCTACGGCACTCCCGAGTATACCAACTCGGCTACTTCTTGCAACTCGCACTACGCTGAGTGGTTTGACCGCGCCATTGTCGGTGGCTCCAACACCTCGAGGCACTATCAGCAACCCGCACCCGCTTACAGCGGATACCGCCACGCTGGGCAGAACACCCGCAATGCCGGCAATTATGGCGGCTTTTACAGCCACAACATTTGGGAACACCCCGGCCCCGACTGCACCTGCAGCAGTTGCGTTTCGGTTCACAAGCAGCCCTCCTATTTCTTCGCTCACAGCTATGGCCAGCCTGTCGCTGGCTAAGCGATTGTATTCACACCCCCGATGCGCACATGAGCGAGCGCATGAAGTCAACCTGGTGATGCCGTTGGCAGCCAGTTTTACAGATGAAAAAGGCGTTTACGCGGCGCCACTTATTCCACTGCATCGTCTGCTGGACACGGTTTCCTTTTTTTCGGCACATTAAAGAATCGATATATTGCATTCAGATACCCGGAGCGATGACGAGGCGGAACGATTAGGATACCCCCAAGGCGATGTGACACGGTCCATCAACTTTGCTATTCGCCGGTGTCCCAAGATTCTCTTACCGCCAGTCATCCTTTTCTAATGACTTTCCTCTTCGGTATACGGTTCACTATTTCATACAGCGGCGTTTGCGGATTTTTATTTTCACTTTTCTTTCGAAACCGGTTATAGAATCGACTCGGCCGACCAGCACCTTGCGCCGCGCCGACGACGGCAATCGACATACCTTGCTTGCTTGACACATGTTCAAGACCGCAATGCACCGTGCGTGTGTGGCCTGTTCGTTATCAGATGAACTGAGTCGGCCGCATCGAGCGCCGCCCTTCTAATAACCCGCCCGTTTGGAGGGTCTGATCGCGCTGGTCTTTTTTTCCTAGTTTTGTCAAAACCCGGCGGAACGCTTTTCGTTTAGAGCAACATACCCCTGGGCTTTTTCAGTCATACGTTCAAATGACACGGCGCCCAAACCAGACGGGGGCTTTTTTTTTCGTTGTCAAAAAGTTTTGTGGGGCATGGTACATATATTCTGCTTTTTCGTGGTGTCTTTGTTGGTTTTTTTGGTTTTTTTTCCCTGTTTGCGGAATTGGTTCAAGAGGTTCAAAAAGTTGGGCTCACCGTGTGGTCATGAGCATGTGTTTTTCAAAGCGATCAAAATGGGGGGTCTTTGCTGCTTTTCTTTGCCTATTTTTATTTTCTCTTGCATTGTGTTTATTATTATTCTTTGGCCAGTTACGGGCTCAAGTGGTGTTGTTGATCACTTGGACACGGATGGGAACAGGCTCTCAGCAGTATGGTTCACAATGCCGCTGGCTTGTTATCCCAGGACATGTTTGGTTTCATCGACGGTGGCTTCTAGAGGGGTGTTGGGGGCTTTTTACTGGCATTTCAAGGTAGAGCAGAATGGCCCGGGGAACAATCGGGGGGAGTATACGCTTGGTGTTGTGTAATTTCTTTTGGCTCTTCTTTTTTCTTGTCACAATGGAATTTTCTCTTGATGACGGGGTAGGTTATTTGGTTCGGCGATTCCCAAACACAACGACTTGATGAGGGTTTGAGGGAAACGAGGGGAAATGGGATCTGGGAGAGAATGGAATGTCAGGCCAGACAGGCTGACGGCGACTTTGCGATCAGCAAGGTCTAACAACAAAATGGGTGGTCTGGCAAGCCAGATGATGGTCATGGGGTCGTGGGCCCGACGGTAATGATCGGAGAGGCAATAACGTGAGGGATTGAGATTTTTTCCTCGGCGTTCCCCAGGCAGTGTGGCAGCGAAGATGTTGCGAGCTCCTGGGATATTCTGCCAGCACCACCTAAGATAAAAAATAAATAAGAAGCAAAATTATGTGCACTATCTGTTCGTTATGCAATTGTGATTGTCTTGTGTGTGAGTGTGGTGTTGTTATTGTTGTTGTTGTTGTTGTTGTTTTGGTGAGTGTTCGACCACCCGGCAGCAGCTGTCACCCAGCTTATTTCAACGACATGCGTTGACTTGGACTCCATTCAACTTGTAACATCACATTGCCTTTTCATGAATTCTGGAAGCTGCTGTTGTTTTCAATTCAGTTGTTTAACATTACATCCCAATTCATACTAACTTCATCTTTTTCTCACCGCAACTTCACCCTCCATCATGTCCTCCCGCTTCGTCTCAGCCGGCTCAATAGACGCCACCACGGGCGAAGCCACCACCGAACACGCCGGCCCATCCGACTCCCAACAGCAGCAGCCACCACCCGTGAGCCAAAAGTCAAAGGAATGGGCAGAAGTCACCCAGCAGCTGGAATCCGACCGCCAGAGACGGATCCTCCAGGCGAACAAGCGCAGGAGGGAGGGGAGAAGAGCCTGTACGAGGTTCTCCAGGCGAACAAAGCGGCCAAGCAGGCCGAGTTTGAGGAGAAGAGCAAGCTGAAGAATCAGTTTAGGGCTTTGGATGAGGACGAGATTGATTTTCTGGATGAGGTTGAGCGCCGGAGGAGGGGAGGACGAGGAAACGCCGACGACGGTGGGGGGGGAGGGGTTGAGGGCGTTTAGGGGGATCAAATCTTCTAGGGAGAAGGGGTAAAGTCAGGAGGAGGAGGTGGAGGTGGAGGGGTGGGATTTTGGGGGGGAGGGGGGGAGGAGGAGGAAGCGGAGGGCGGAGGGGAGGAGGTTGTTGGTCAAGAAGGTTAAGAGGGAGGAGAAGATGGATGATACTGAAGGGTCGCCGACAGGGAAGCCGGGTGGTGGTTTGGTGGGTGGTGGCTCTGGTGGCGATAAGAAGGCGACAGAGGTGGTGGTGGACAAGGCTGCAGCAGCTGCTTCAGTTCCAAAACCAGCAGAAGCGCCAGCGGTTTCGGCCAAGAAGGCGGCTGGTGGTCTGGTGGATTATGGCTCTGATAGCGATGAGTGAGAGGTCAATTTGAGGTTTCTCAAGACTCAGCTCTGCGTACGCCTACATCGGCGGTTGGGGATGACACGATCTGGAGTCTTCGCAACATCACACTGACGGACAGCAGTCCCATGTGCCATGTGCCGTGGCGCTACAAAACCCAAACACAGACACACAAGAGCCCCAGCTCGTTGCCATACACGACACTAAGTTGGCCCTGCCTAAATTAAGCAGCACCACGTTTCAGTATCAATGGATAACTGGAATACAATCGGGAGAAGAAGTGGTGCTGTACGTATCTTGTAGCATTGAAGGGGGTTTAACATCGCAATAACACCAACACCAACCAAAGCCAAACAACCCAAAGGCCCCCCCAACCGCCGCCCAAATGCTGTCTGTCCTGTCTTGCCTTCCAAATAACATCCTCCTCAAATCTATAGCCGTTTTTCCCATCAGGTATGTATCGCCACGACACCATAGTATACACAACTCCCCACAAAAGCTAATGTTACACGCTAGGTACAATACGTCCTCCCTCCAGCATTGAGTATGGTCATCAAACATTAGTCCACATCCTCAACATTACTCCTCTTTTCCTCTCCCATAACCTTCCCCTTTCCCCATCGATACAACTGCCTAAACTTCCCCTTTGTCCAACCCTCAATCTCCTCCTCAGGTACCGCAATCTTGGCCACCCTCTCCACATCCTCCTTTGACAACTCGAACCTCCTCATCCGCTCGGCGATTCTAGGGTCCAGAACAAGCGGCCTGGCCCTGACAACCTCTGTGATACCAGCCTTTTCCCGCTCCTTGACATTCTCAGGTTCATCCCCAGCCTCTTTCCAGAGAGATTTGATCCAGTCCTTCTCCTCAAAGGCCAACACCTCTTCTTGCTCGTATTTCTGATCCTCTCCCGATTGTTCAGAGAAATGGCGGTAGTGAGCCAGGCAGACTGCGGCGACATCACGGCCGATTTCATCGGCGAGGTGCCGGCGGTTGAAGAAACGGTACAGACGGGTTGGCGTGGAGAGGAAGCCTAACAGGTGAGGTTCCCTCACCGGAGCGACGGGGGAGAATTCATTGGGAATGGAAGATGGGAGGGGGGAGGAGGGGTAATCGGCTGGTGTGTTGTAGGGACGGGGTTGAGGCGGTCGCTTGGGTTTGGATTCCTCCTCTTTCTTCTTTTCCTCCTCTTCCTTCTTCTTCTCCTCTTCTGACTTCTCGCTGTCGGATTCGGCTGTGGGGAGTGGTTCTGGGATGGGGAGTGGAGGGGCGGTTAAGGGGCCGAGCCAGCCTTCGTGTAATCCTCTGAGGTATTCCTTCCATGTGTGCCTACCAATGACGATGTCGCCCTTGATACCGTCGTAGTCTTTAATCCCGCGGATCTTGCGGTGAGCAGCGATGATTTCCTCCTTTGTGGGCTCGTCAGGGAGCTCGGGCTCAACCTCGCCGGAGTCGACTTGCTTGCGGTGGCGGCGGATCTTCTCGGCAGTGTAGGCGCGGACGTCGCCGTCTCGTCGGCCTTGGACAAACTCCCAGTCGAGGCCGGAGGCGGCGAGGATGGGCTTGACGTACTCGGTGTAGTGGTCTTGGGCGGTGCGGAGGCCGTCACCGGGGGGAGCGGAGAGATAGATGGTGATCTTGCGGAGCTCGGAGAGGGCATTGTGGCTAGGCAAGGGCTCCTTGGCGAGGTGCTCGACGGCGTGTCTCCATTTCGCGATGGCTCGTTTCTTCTCGCGTTTGTCGTAGATGATGCCGGCAGTTATGGCGGTGGAAAGGGTCCAGAAGATCATCCAGTTTCGGGAAGGGAGCTTCTTTGGGAGGGCGGGGAGGCCCAGCATGCGGAGGGCCCGGTTTCTTTCGGGAGCTTTGGCAGCCTGAAACGTGGGAATTGTCAGTTGTGTGATCTTGCATTACTGTCTAGAGTGGAGATATTCCATACTTTCTCGGCCACCTCAGCCGCCGGCGGTGTTACCGGCGCCGACGGCTGCGCTGGTGGTGTTGGTTCTGCCATGTGTGGAAGCTTTGTGGTGGTATATATTCAGAAGCACTATGAGCGCATTGGCCTTGACGCTGCCTCCAGTGGGCTTTTCAGTTGGACAAGAAACCAAGCAGTCTCAACAACTTGAAACTGGCAAGAAGGACACTGGCAAGCCGGCTGTGGATTCTGTCGGCACGATACTGAGGTGCTCGCTGACGATATCGGTCCCTCACTGGAGTCAAATTTCCAGATGCTTTCTTATCGCGATAAGCCTGCCTTTGTGCACGGGCCACCATATGTGAGCTCATCGAGGTCCAAGCCAAGGACCAACCCAAGGACACCGAGGCCCTGCTACATTGTGAATATTGCATTGTATTCTCCGGAACCGACTTTATTTGTCACTATTTTCCAAACATAGCTAATCTTCGATTCTCCTTTCAAAGAGTTTCTTTCCTGCTCGTGGACAGTTTTGGTTTATTCTGTCGATACAGATCCTGTGTAAGTTAACTACTACGGAGTACTCAAAAGCGGATCGGCGGTGCGGCCCGGAGGGAACTCTCCAACTGTCTGTTCAAAGTCCCTAAATAGCTGCCCAATATCGAACCTCTTTGTCGGTAAGCCCCGAGGCTGCAGGGCTTTCCGGGAAAATGCACATGGCCTAGCAAAGCATTGTTTGGCGAGCATCGGGGCAGCAGACTGATGGGTGAGCATTGTTTCGAAACCCGAATTGTAAACGCATCAGGGGCTCTGTGAGGCGAGCCCCTGAAAGCCCAGATGGAGGATCACCAACCCCACTTCTTCAGAGCTCCAACTGCCCGCCAGGCCACACAGAGGGAGCTCTGATTGCACGATGCCAGCCGTGTGATATGCTGTGTAGCGCCAGAAGGGGGAAGTAAACGCAGCAGTGATGAAGAATCGTCGGAGCTGTTGATCCAGTCATTCATCCAACTTCACATATCCCCTCCAAGAGTCGGAGTCCCTGCCGGAATCCAGTGTCCAGTGTCCTAGCGTCTGATACCCCTCTTTGGCGCCTTCCTCAGGGCCAGCCTGCCAAATAATTTATTGTGAGGCACAGCGGTACACAATTATTTTACATCCCGTGTTTCTCAACGGTCGAGTCTTGAGCTTGGCCTAACCTCACCGACATCCATACCTACATAAACAAGGTGACTCTGCTGGCACAACAACAACATCAACAGCTTTCATCATCTGTCTTCCAGATGGTTGCCACGTCTGGAAACAGCTTGACAAGAGACCATCCCCAACGCTAGTGTTGCACCCTGTCTGCCCCACCACTCGAGCGACCACCCAGTGATCCGAGTCCACTCCCGTTTCCTCTCGCACGGTAACCTCCCCCCAGCGCCAGAGTGCCACCGCTCGACCCGACCCTTTGTCTTGTCCCGAGAAAAAGCAAAGCTCCCTTTTTATCTGCGACCCCTTTTTGCGAAAACACCATTCGGCACCTTCCTGTCGACAGTCTCTAGGAACCAGCAGTTGATCTGCCAGAGTCTACCGCCAGCAAGCCAGAGCGAGCAGAGCAGCCCTGCCGAGTTGGGTGCGCCCCCTATCTTCGATCGCCGAACCCGAACCCTTACTATCCATCCATCACGACATCTTGACAACACACACGCGCCGCCACGATGGATAACCAAGGTAACCGTCTCTACCTGAACTTCGGGAACAATAACAACAACAACAACACCGATCGCCTCGCCGCCTCCGATCGCACGCAGTATCCCACCACTCCCTCCACCTTCCCCCAGCCCGTCTTCCCAACCGGCCCCTCTGGTCAGGCGCCGACCCCCCAGCAGGCCCAGCAAGGTTACCCGCAAGGCTATGCTTCTAACAACTACTACAATCCTAACCAGTATGCCCCTCACTACCCTTCCCATCTTGCTTCCCAGGTCCAGAACTACAACTCTCCTAGACCAGGTTATGGACAAGCCCGCTCAACTACTCCTGGCTCTAGTAACGATCCCAACGCTGGACTGGCCCATCAATTTGCCCACCAGAACCTAGGCGGTGCCGGCAGACCCCAGAACTACAGTGCCCGTGGCCCTTCTCCAGGACAGCGCCCCCGTACGGCTAACAGCCAGGGCCAGCAGCCTGGCTACGGCAGCTACTTGAACGCGCCCCCGATGCCTTCGCAGAACTCTGGGCTCGAGTTTGCCCCCGCCCCCGAGCGGAACCCGGACAAATACGGCCCCAATGCCAACAACAACCAGAAGAAGTGCTCCCAATTGGCCTCGGATTTCTTCAAGGACAGTGTCAAGCGGGCTCGTGAGCGGAACCAAAGGTAGGCAGTGTGCTGGGTGAGACGGGTGGATGAAGCTAATCACGTCGGTGCAGACAAAGCGAGATGGAACAGAAGCTGAACGAGACCACGGATCCCCGCCGCCGGGAATCCATATGGGCGACTGGAGGCAGAAAGGAGGGCCAGTACCTCCGCTTCCTCCGAACCAAGGACAAGCCCGAGAACTACAACACCATCAAGATTATCGGCAAGGGTGCTTTCGGTGAGGTGAAGCTGGTTCAGAAGAAGTCGGACGGCAAGGTTTATGCCATGAAGAGCTTGATCAAGACGGAAATGTTCAAGAAGGACCAGCTTGCGCACGTTCGCGCCGAGCGTGATATTCTTGCCGAATCAGACAGTCCCTGGGTCGTCAAGCTCTACACGACCTTTCAAGATGCCAACTTCCTCTACATGCTCATGGAGTTCTTGCCCGGTGGCGATCTCATGACCATGTTGATCAAGTACGAAATCTTTTCCGAGGATATCACACGGTTCTACATTGCCGAGATTGTGTTGGCTATTGAGGCTGTCCATAAGTTGGGCTTCATTCACAGGTGTGTTCTTTTTGCTGGAGTCGTAATGGCGTTTGGATACTGACAGATGCTTCAGAGATATCAAGCCAGACAACATTCTCCTCGACAGGGGTGGTCACGTCAAGCTGACGGATTTCGGTCTATCGACTGGTTTCCACAAGCTCCACGACAACAACTACTATGCGCAGCTTCTGACGGGCAAGTCCAACAAGCCTCGCGACAACAGAAACTCGATTGCCATTGACCAGATTAACTTGACGGTCAGCAACCGCTCCCAGATCAATGACTGGAGGCGGTCGAGGAGACTGATGGCGTACTCCACTGTTGGTACTCCTGATTACATTGCCCCTGAAATCTTCACGGGTAACGGTTACTCTTTCGACTGCGATTGGTGGTCCCTAGGTACCATCATGTTCGAGTGCTTGGTTGGGTGGCCCCCTTTCTGTGCCGAGGATAGTCATGACACATACCGCAAGATTGTCAACTGGAGACAGTCGCTGTACTTCCCCGACGACATTCAGCTCAAGCCTGATGCTGAGAACCTGATCAGAAGGCATGTTAGATTGACTGAATTCACGTCTGGTACATTGCTAACACACTCCGTAGCTTGATCTGCAACACCGAGAACCGTCTGGGCCGTGGTGGGTCTGATGAGATCAAGCGTCACCCCTTCTTCTATGGTGTTGAGTTTGAGAGCTTGCGCAGGATTAGGGCGCCTTTCGAGCCCCGCCTCACCTCCAACATTGATACCACCTATTTCCCCACGGACGAGATCGACCAGACCGACAACGCCACGTTGATCAAGGCTGCCCAGGCCGCTAGAGGCGCCGCGGCCAGCCAACAGCAGGAGGAAAGCCCAGAGATGAGCTTACCATTCATTGGATACACGTTCAAGCGGTTCGATAACAACTTCCGGTGATTGGGGAATTCTGGTGTCTAGTTGGGAAAGTGTGATCTGAGGTAGGGCATAATTCTTGCTGGCAGAGAAGAAGAGCTTTAGTTGGTGATGCAAATCTACAATCAGTTAACCCGATGGGGGAAAAAAAAAAGAGGGAGGTTGGGTTTGCCTTGCTTTTGTGATCATCGAAAAAAGAGGAAAGAGAGACTTGTTGGCGCTCTGATGTACGCTCTGAACTGCATGTCTGTTTATTGTTATGTACATAGTTGCATATCTACGCAAGCTGGGGGGTTTGAGAGGGGGGATGTAGGCATGGTACAGACAGCTGTCATGGGATCATCTCGGAGAGATGGATGTCTGTAGCTGAGCAATACCATTGCCTGTGCAGGCAAGCCCTTGGCAGTGATGAATGTACAAAGTCGAATTGCCCATGAATTGCAGTCTCATTATGAAGGGTATCTATCATTAACTCGGTACGCGCCTGGAACACAGTCCGCTAATATCCCCTTTGCGATGTGTTAGCCTAGAGAACGACGAGGCGTGTGGTTTCTTGAGGCCTTACAGCTTGCTCAAATTGGTGTCTTGCTTATTTCTCTCAACCTCCTGGACTGCCACTGCTTCGTCTGTGTGCCCTCATCCTTTGCTGGCTTTCAGACAGTCGATTTTCGCCATGATACGCCGGTTATTTCGAATCCATACTTCCTCCGCATCGTCTCTCTACCGCCTCCCCGTCAAGCCCGGCGCGGCATTGAACCTCTCCTCTCTCTCCGTCATAAACATGATCTGCACCCAATACTCCTTGCTATCCGGATCCCAAAACTCAAACTGCCTCCCGTCCTCCCTCTTGTCCAGCTCCCTGGCAGGGATCTTGAACCCGCAGGTTTCGTACGGTTCCGCCGCGACGAGAAGATACTGAAAATTCCTATCCGGCTCCTCCACCCTCTGCGTAAACGCACTCATGACCTGCCACTTGGGCGTAACTCCCACCCCGATATCCGGATACTGCAGCTGAAACAGCAAGCCCTGCTGTCTCGTGATCGGATCTCTGACCTTTGTGATTTTGTACCCCGGCCTCCCAATCTTGACAACATTCTTCCTCGGCCCACCAGCACCAAGACCCAAGGCAGCAAAGCCGGCGCCGACGACTCCGACAGGTAAGCCGGTAGTGGGATCGATTTCCCCTTTGCCCTCTTTTTGTTCCCTGGCGGCGCGGCGGGCGAGGTTGGTCTGGTGCTTTTTGCCCTGGGTGTGGGCGAGGTAGGAGCCGTCGTTCTGGTGGACCGTCAGGCAGAGGCGGCACTCGAAGGAGCCGAGGTGGTTCTTGAAGATGTAGGGGTCCTTGTCGAGGTCGATTTGCTCGAGGGCGAGCTTGCGGAGGCGCTCGCGGCGGTCGGCGTTGGTGGCTGAGTGGGAGGCTACGCCGCCGCCGCCGAATTTGGAGCCGGCACGGTTTTGGTAGTCCATTATTTCTTCGGTTTCGAGGTGGATTGGGGGGTTGTCGGGTTGGGGGAATGGGGTTGGTGCGGTGTGGTGGTGGTGATGGTGGTAGTGGAAGTGCTGAGAGGCGAGGCGGCAAGCTTCTAGATAAGACGTGTCGCGCCGCGCTTCGGGTGGCGGGCGGGTGGTGGCAGTTGGCGAGAAGCCCGTCCACTTAGACAGCAGTAGCTCCCCTTCTTCTTTTTGTCAACGATAACGATGCACCCATCTTCACTGGAACATCTGTTGTGGGAAACAGTCAATTCAATTCAGAATGCTATGCTAGTTACTTCGTCTCTCATTTATTTCATCTCATCAATCCGTCCTCAATGTCCTTATCGTCCTCGTCATTCCAGTTCATCATAGCTCATAACCCCAACCCGCCCTTCAACCTCCCCCTTACGTCAACCCAGCCACAACCACCATCACCACCCCAGCAATCGCCAACCCCATCGACACACCAAGTCTACCGCCCTCGCTGTATCTAGGCGGCAAACCTTGCGCCCACCCATCAGTATTCCCCTGAGGCCCAGGCAGTTGTGGCTGGTCAGGGTTGGGTTTGGCAGAAGGAGGGTAGTCGGGAGCAAGGACAGTCTTGAGTTCATGGGCGATCCCTCCAGGAGCGCATTGTGTCCCCTTTGCGGTGGGCATCACGGCGGACCAGATCCCTGAGCCGCAGCGCTGCCAGGAGGTGAGCATGCAGTTCCATTGGCCTTCGAGGCTGGGTGGGCAGGGGGTGCTGGGGGTGTAGGCGCCTGCTGGGAGGGGGGCGGGGGGTTCAAGGAGGGAGGAGCGGATGTGGACTTCTGGGTGGAATCCCTCGGGGCGGTGTTCCTCGGCGTGGTTCTCCTCCAGGCGGCTCACTTCAAGGTGGTCCCCTTTCGGGTGGTGGGGTTCCTCGGTATGGGATTGCTGGGGAGGATACTGTCCCTCTGGCTGGTGTTCCTCGGCATGGTGTTGGCCCTCCGGCCGGTGCTCCTCGTAGGATGGGCGGTGTTCCTTCTCTCTAAATTCGCGGCGTGGTCGAGGGAAGGAGATGTGATGGGCGGGTTGCTCAGGCTGGTGCTCTCCTTCCTCTCCAGACTCGTGATGGGGTTGAGAAACTGCCAGGTGATAGGCAGGGTGATCAGGGGCAATATGAGGAACCTCGGCAGGACGCTGCTCCTCGGGATTGATAAGAGGGGAGGCGGCTCCCAAAGTGGCGAGGCAGAGGAGAGTTGTGATCATGAGGAAAGCCGGAAGCTTTCCCGGGCTTGATTCCACGGCCATTGACTTGTAAGAGAACGGATTCCGGAAGAGCGCCGACGGCCAGAGGGTGGGAGTGGCCTTCTTGAGCTCTGGGCTGGGTCCGGAATGCGAGACGCTCGGCTCCGGGTGGGTCTTTTCTTGGATGTCGTTGATGGAGGTCATCTTGCGAGTTCGCTTTTCCGAGTTGATAGGAGGTGATTGTTTCGAAAATTGATCACAATGTAAGTGTGTACATGTGTGATTGACTGACTGCTTTGTGCCGATGCAGAAACCTGGTGGGATGAGGGATGGCACCCGGGTTATATCACCATGCCACGGCCACTTCTTCGCGAAGGCTGGCGCGCAGTCACACATGTCTTACCTCCCACCCGAGCTCGGATAGAGAGACGCGTTGCGCGCTTTCGAGATCACGGTGGACTTCATCCTGCCATTTTCTTTGGTGGGGGGGTGATGGTCAACAGTGCTGGCCGGAGAGTTGTCCACGCTGGGGCTGTCATTCGATGGTGGATGTGCGCTATCCAACTGACTAGCCATTGGTTTGCGTCTACTGGGTGATTGGACTGGCTTACTGACCGCCTTTGGGTCGAAAAGGTCAGTTGAGGCATTGCCGCGAGATAGTTGAAGCTTATTCAGAAGCAGCTGCCAGATTGCCCGGCCTCCCTAAACTCTGCACCGATCACAAGAGCCTTCCTGAATCTTTTCGAAGCACTATGGCTGTTCAAACACAGCAGATTCAGACTCACCCGCCCCTCGAAGAAGATTGTCAAAGAATGCGGTATCCACGCCTTGCAAGCCCCAGCTCTCAACGAAACCTAGTTCAAAAGGTTGGCCGTCTTCTCCAAACGCACATGCTAGTCCTTCAGGCATGTCGGAACCTCGTCGAATCACTATCCCTCCCAAGTAGGGAATATAAATTCTTAGGATGTTGTCACCATCGGTTGTCGTTCCACCACACCCCAGCTCTTCAGCCTCCTCAGCTTGCTGTTCTGATTGCGAACGATAGCTGCATATTTCTCCAGCAGCGGCTTCTGACTCGATGAAGAGTAGATGCCGCAACAAAGTCGCTATTCTCTTCGCTATAGCGTCTTCACCATCTACAGACATGCGCTCCATGGCTTCCATTGTCGCCTCCAACATACCGCGATCACCCTGTCGTTGATGTGCTAGGAAGTCCAAGGCATCAAAACCCAGCACTCTCTGAACTTTTTGTCTATGTGAATCCAGGTGGGCAATACACATTGCCGTGCTGGCAATGAAAGCCAGAAAATCGATTCCATGGCAATACGAGCTGACTGGATTACCTTTGTGAAAAGTCAAGAAGCGCGTGATGACTTCTCGGCTTGCGGTGACGGCAGTAATCTTGCTGTAGTTACAGCTCAGGTCGGAGGGGGGTCTAAGCAAATAGGGAAGATGAAGCTGTGCCAGGAGGTGGTAGTGAACTGCCTGGCTCATGAGACGAAGCGTCTTGTCCGGAGCCTCAAGATCGTCCTCGGTAGTGCGAGGCGCAAAGTCAGGGGTAAGCCACCACCGAGGTGGCATAAAAGCTGATGCTTTTTGGAGCAGGTCGTCAATCTCCCGCGTTGCGGAGATATCGTTGATGTCGTTTCTCTGTAGGATGTATCCGGCGGCAACGCAGTGAAGCCTCCGCAATTGCTCGGCTGGGGTGCATTTCTCCAACACTTTTGGTGTTGCGAAAGAGTTGTCGGATGAGCCCTGTGGAAGTCCAAGCACGAGCGAGAGGTAGCGGTCGGATTGCACTATTCGGGACCAGAGGTACTCAGGATCGATATTGGCCTTTGTGTTGGATGACAATGTGTTGAGGCATGTTTTCGCTTGTTTGCCGCGGTGGAGTCCCATCAACTGTGCCATCGTCATGGCCCGGCGAGTTGCACTCCATGATCTTCGTAGGTTTCCAGCTCTGTCGTGGTACATGCTTTCCATCATGATGCACTCGATGCCCTCTATTGAGTCAGTGAGCTGATCGTTACTTGTCACCATGCTGATGGCCCTCTCCACCGCTCGAGACATTACATCGCGGTATCCAGTGGCGCGGTTTTCCAACGGTTCGACGCAGGATGCTGGTACATCTTGGAGAAGCAGACCCAGAAGTAAAGCCCTGCGAGCTATTAGAACCGGATGTGCTCCAGGAGGCGGCTTTTGCATTGTATCCACCAACGACGGCTTGCTCGACGCTGAGGGGTTAGGTGACAAGATGCCACCGACTTTGAACAGGAGCTCCATGAGCGAGGTTTGGAGAGGAAGCTCCGATATCTGATCCAAGACACTCTTGTCAGGCCATGCCTCCAGAAGTTCAGTTGCGGTTCTTCTGAGCTCTGCTGTCTGCCGATTGTCTTCAGACTCCGGATTGCTGGGAAGTGGTGGCTGTTGAAGGTCCGGTGTTCTGTCCTCGGTATTCCTCTGAGCACTATTCAGGGAGTCGATCTTTCTGGCCAGGTTCTCAACCAGAGACTCGACTCGACCGAGACGGCCCTCAGTGTCGCCATTGATGTGCTGTGTAACAACATCAGGAAACTCCTGGCTGAGGCATGTTGACCGTCGTCGTTCACATGCATCGCAAACAGAGTTTGTTTCTACCGAAAATATGCATCGTACCTTCCTGCGCTTGCACTCCCAGCAGCTCTTTGTGCCTTTTCGAACTCTGAGCTTTTTTCTTGGGGGCTCGAGATCGCTGATATACGATGGTTCGGAGGTTCTGTTGATCATGTCGAACACTCAGATACAGAATGTGCAAGCCAACCAGCTTGATGTAAAGGGATTATGAAGGGAGAAGTATATGTTACAAACTTCGACTGAAAAGATGTACTGGATTGCGTTGTTGTGGTGTTGAGCGTAGGGGAAAGCCGACCCTGAATATCATTCGCCCGAGCTCTCCCATTTCGGCCGAAGCTCGGCGCAAGCACCGAAGTTGTAACCGAGCATAACCACACCGTCCACATGTCTAAGAACAATACTTGGGTGAGCTACGGCTTGCTTTCCCAGACCTCAGTCAAAAACTCCTCGGCCCTAGTGAACTCGTAATCTGGAAGCAACCGATTCCACTCATTCGAGACTTTCAGCACTCCAGCAGAGATACCCAGAAGCATTCCAGAAAGGAAGCCCTTTGCCATAGCCTCAACTGCTGCTGGAGAAAGAGAGGGGTGGTCAACCACAGGCAACCAAGAGCTCTTGACAATCCCCGCTTTGATGTCTTCTGCTTTGAGCTTCTCGACGATGAAGGGACCCCCTGTTCCATCATTAGCACCAATTAGTCATAGAAGACAACCATATGAGGAGGACGTGCCCCGAATCTTCTCACCAAGCGCGATAATCTCACCAATGGTTACTTCGTCTCCTCTGATACCGCCAACAACAGGCCACTCGCCCTCGTGCTCAACAGCCTTGGCGACGACATTTGCAAGGTCCTTGGCTGTAGTCCAGGTGATTCGCGCGTCCTCACTGTCCTCCAAAATGATAGCTCGGCGGGCGTGAAAGTCCATCTGGGTTTGGAACGGGTGAATGTGCTTGGAGGACTTGTAGGGGTAGCAGAGGTAGTCTGTGAACTGCCCTGGTTGGAAGAAGGTGTACTCGAGCACCTAGATGCCAGATCATCATCAACAGCTGACTGAGGTGTGTAGCACTGAGTGACTTGCCTTCTTGTCTTTGTTTAGCTCGGCGAGATACTCTCGGATCTCTGCCTTGCCGGCATACCACGGGAGATGCTCGAAGCTGGACCTGCAACTAGGTTGTAAATACCCGACGACTCTGTTCGAAGAGGGTGAAAGCTCACGTTGCCCACTCGCTGGGCGCAAAACGTTTAACTCCGGCACGGACCGAGGCATTGATAAGATTCTTTTGAGCAGTGTTCCCCGGGTCTGAGTGGGTGACGATGAAGGATAGGACAGTGTCAACTCCTTGGAGAGTCTCGGACAGTCCATCCAAGCCGTCATAGTCCGTTGTGATCCATGTGATGTTGGGAAAGGCGTTGTTGGAAGAAAGCTCCGCTGTGTCAGTTCTTGTCAAGAGGAGGAGCTTGTGCTTTCCAGTGGCGACGAGGGCTTCGGTCACCTCTTGGGCGACGTCTGTTGGTTGATGATTAGCCTGCAGTAGATGGTGGATGGGATAGACTGAAGAACGTACTGCCGGTTGCACCTGCAATAGCGATTTTGACCATGGCGGCTTTTGAAAGAACAAACCTAGGTCCATTGCTTCAAGTAAAGTAGACGGTAATGTGTGCTTTTATAGAGATATTCGGCTTCGGTTGATTTGAGTGGCTCGGCCGAAAGCTGGGAACTGGTGACTGCACCTCAGAAATGGACCTCCGACAAGCAGAGTTCTCTTTCGGCCGAAGGTTTAGAGCAAGGGGGGGCCATCTATTGTTTGAATGTCCAGTTAGACTTATAGATTGAAACGCCCAAAGTGGCACGTCGATTCCATGGCCAGGACACTTGGTATACGGCTGATTTGGAAGGCACCGGGAAGAGCGAGAGCGTTGGTTGAGGTGAAGAGGTACTTGTGTCTTCTTTGCTCACTAATGCTTGTGTAAGTTTGCCCTCTAACTCTCAGTTTCCGACCAAGGGCTTGACAGGAGGTTGCTCTGTCAGTCTAGCGGCCGCATTTCTCGCCTTTGCCCTCCTGTCTCTCAGTACTCGGTAGACTCCAACCAAGCCTAACACTGCAAAATTTGCTATGAAAGGTAACCATCACTCATAGAAGAGTCCCATGATTATCATGAAGACCTTGTCCCCTGGTGTCCATATAAAATAAAAGAATCCAAAGCCGTAAATGACCATGCCCCAAACAGCAACGATAGCCATCGACGACCAGCCAGACCTCCGGTACCTGCGACCAAATGCTCTCGAATCAAAACACCCCAATGACGAATAGCTCACCACGTTTGATAAGAACAAGTTAATGAAGAATGGCCCGATGACGAACATGTCCAAAAGGTAGCTGACCAGGGGAAAGACTGTCATCTCTGGTACGGTCACGAGCTTTGAACAGACAAGAGGAACGAGCATAGCCGTTATCACCCCAAGATGAACAATGGTGTAAAGGAACATAAAAACTATCGGCCTTGAGAGTCCGAGGGTAGAATTCCCAGAATCCGCCAATGTGGGGACGGGGTTTCAAGCCCATACACTCGTAGAAGCTCGACAACCTGCTGTACCGAGTTTTCATTTGCAGTTTTGAAAAGCAGTGATGTAGAGCGTGATATTGGGAACATGCCGAAATGTTTGTTAGCATCGATGAAGAGTGCGAGGTCGAGTGGCGACACGATGCTGCTTTTCCAAGCTGGCCAAACTGGATATTGCTGAACCCGGTAAAGCTTGAGAAGTCTCTTTAGCGCCCCGATGTTTCCATATCGGACTGCCAACCTAATATGGTACATCAAGTCGATGTCTGCATTGGCTGATGTTGGCCGAGTTTGTGACTCGGCCAGGTCCCAGAGCGACAGCCGTTCATATCTGCCGTTGGCAATCAAACCCAGAAGAAGCAAATGGAGCTCCGATTGAGACAGTGGCGAAGATTTCCACCCAACGGTGCTCAGTTCCTGGTTTCGGGCCCTGGGTGTTGTCTGTAGCCCGAGTTCAATGTTGTTAGAGTTCAAGAGTCCGGGATCGAGATGATTTGGCTGCTGCGCCTTCTGACGGAGTGGTGTTTGGCTGATGTTGACTCTTAGCCTCTGGAGCAGGCGAATATGGTCTCTAGATCCTATGAATAAGATGTATTCGGGAAGTAACATCGCAGTAACATCGGCTCAAAGGGCGAGATTGCATCCTCTGAGAGCACAGGAGCTTCCATGACTGCTGGATAAGCTGATGATGTTTTCAAACGCTGATCAGGTGGTAACTGCGGAACCAACTGACTGCTTAAAGAAGGGTATTGTGTAACAAGAAATTCACATGCTGTTGACGAGAGTGTAAGGATTTCCTGGCTCATAAAAGCAGACGGCTGGCCACTAATCTTCTCATCAAATTCATTCGACGGGGCCAATATTTGTTCATCTGAACAATGTTCAACGAGATACTTTCTATATGTCTAAGATCAGCTAAAGAATCCCTGAAAATTCAAACAGGACAAGCACAGTACATACACGAAAAATTGGTCGCGGTATGATGCCGTGACTGCCACTGACAGCAACAAGTGTGACATATTGATGGTGTGATGTTGCGACTTACGCCTGCAACATTCGCGCCTTTGGCAGCGCTCACCAGTTCCCAGGCGGTTGATAAACTGAGGATTATCCTCTACGAGAATTCTGAACGCTAGATGATACCCTGAGCGAATACTCGTGAAAAGCGGGTTGTTATAAAAGTCCTTTTCCAACGCATGAGTCCAAAGCTTTGAAGTCCGTGCAAACTGAGAATGAGCGGCGTATATATACCGGAGAGCGTCTGTTGCACCATTCTCAACGCTGCTGCAAATAATTTTGTAAAGAATATTGGGGTCGAGACCGCTCTTAGATATAACAAAGTCAAGAGTCTTTTGCTGTGCCTCCTCATGTGTAGAGCCGTGGTGAACGGCCTGCAAGAGTGATCCAGGAAGGTCGAGTCCACAAAAAAACACAGCGCTCAACGGTAGAACGTGGAAGGCCACTGATTCTTTGAGCCATCGGAATGTCACACCTTCTGCGCGTGGAAATCTATTGTCGTATTGTTCCAAATGAGCTTGAAGGATTCCGATAGAGGTGTGATCTATAGTGCAACTGCGATTCCAAGTATTTTGCGAAATCTGGAGCCCCGTTCGCATATCCTGCACATGGAATTCCTATTGCCCGAGTGGCTTGCCTTCAGAAGCAACTCAACGATATCTGGTCTCCTGTGAATGACTCCATTCAGCACCGAACAACACCTGATCGGCAGCGAAAACGGTGCGCTTTCCACTGAAAATGTTGCCAACTGCCCTTCTCGGAACACATCAGCACCTCTTTCAACCATGAGTGGAACGAGCCGCTGGAGTTGTTCCTTCTTAAAGGTCAAAGTGTAATGCAGTACTGACTGGTCATCATGGTTGCAGTGAGCGACGTTGAGGCTCGGAAGCTTCAAAAGATAATCAAGAACCTCAAAACGACCAGACTTTGCTGCCTGGATAGTAGCGCTATTACCGGCCAAGTCAACGGCGTTGAAAGATTTTGGCTCCAGGTCTGAGGCAAAAGTTCGTATTTTCTGCAAGTTACCCAGCGAGGCGGCTTCAATAAATTGATTCGAAAGGGAAATACCCTCGGCACTGTCATTCGTTTGGCGTGCCACTTTGTTGAGTAAGCTGCCGACGGTGACTGAACCTCTCGATGAATCGTGCTGATGCTGCTTCAGGTCTGCCATGACGTCAACATGTCCCAAAGAAATAGCATCTTTAAGCCATGCAGTAATCGTTGATCTGGATGTCGCCTCGCTGTTGATGCCGTGAAAAGGTGACAATGACTGAAAAGGATCGGCCCCCATCGCGGCCTGTGGACGGAGGAAATATGCTTGAGCGACGGCAAGGCCATGCATCGCTGCGTCGGTAAGCCATCGACGAGCGATGTTCCAATCCTTATCAACCCCGAATCCATCGAAATAGCAAATAAAGAGCTGGTCCGTCTCTCAAGTCATCAAGACTTCTTCCGAAATAACTCGGCTGAGCCCTCCTCATGCAGGCCGAGATTCCAGCCTGAATATGACATCTACGCATGTGGTCTCGTGTTGCTGCAATTGGGGTTGTGGATGTCTCTACCGGCATTGAGAGACCGCTGTAAGTCTGACGACGACTTTCGGCAGAAGGCGAAAGGTGTCAACTGTGACATGTTGCGCAACCAGATGGGCGAGATATACTGGCAAGCAACTAGGCATTGTCTTCACAACAGTTTCAACAGGAAGGACAAGGAAGCTATCAGGTATGGAAGGTGATGGTGAACCGGAGGAGGTTCCGCTCTATGTAGCGTTCGAGCGACAGGTGGTTGCCGAGTTGGAAAGGTGCGTGGCTTGAGTCATTGCAAACTTTGTTTCGTTTATACTTTCTAGAGCTCCAGCTCTACAGTTCTGCCTCCACGAGCTAGTGGGTCCTCAATATAACATATGAACCGCAATCAAGTCACAACCAGTGCTCCCGAGAAGACAAGTTGCATTTAGAATCCTACCAGAATGGACACCATTCCGAAATAGATCAAGGGTTTATACCTAAGAAAACATCAACCGCACCAGACCATGCTTTCTTACAACTTTCGTACCCTACTCCTTTCCCGCACCTACTCCTCCTTCTCCTCTTCCCCAACAGCAACCAGCTTTCCAACAACCAGGTACTTCTCCAAAAATCTCTCTTCCCACCCAGCCATAGCCTCCAGCTCCTCCTGATTCAGATCGGTAAGTGTATCCAGCGGCCCATCCAGATCCTTGGTCAGCATATCCTCGTCAAAGCTACCCTTGGCCAACCCACGGGAGGCATCGCGGCCAGCAAAGTTGGCATAGGGGCCGCCAGGACCATAAAAGTTCCGTCCGCGAGTCACGTCGAAAACACGGCCCTTCACAGCGAGATAGACGGGCATGTTGTTCTCGCCATTGTACGGTAGAAGTGTTCGTGGGGTGAATGTCTTGAAGACGACTGCTGGTTCCTCCTTGGGGAGAGCGGGGGGAGGGGTTGGCCTAAGGAAGCTGTAGGTCGCGTAGAGAACAAAGAGGAGGACGATGATGTTGAGGGGGGTGAAGAAGGAGGAGCTGTTGCAATGGCTGTTAGCTAGCTTCTCCAAGACGTAGGATGGCGGGGTGATGGTGGGGGGGGGGGGGGAATGCGTACCTGGCCGAAGCGCCCTCTGCCTTGGCTGCCTCTTGGGCCACTCTCTGTTGAACGTAGTCCATTGTGTCTGGTGTTGTGCGTAATCTTTACGCCAAAGAAAAAAGCTATACAAAGCAAGCTTTGATGCTAGAAGCTAAAAGCTGGAGTTGCGGGCTGTGGCGGCGGGTTGTTCGGCTTACGGGACGGCTCTCGAAGCTCCACCGGGGCTGTCGTTGGAGTTGGGGAAGAAGTGGAGCCGCCTCGCACCGATCGCGCAATTCAAGTCCCGGCGGGCAGCCGGGTGCACGGGCCACATGGATAAGATCTGATTTAAGGGTGCCCCGCATCCTCCAGGTGGGATGCATTGATGCAGGGTCCAAGAAGCCAAGGGTCCAGATGGTCAAGCAAAAGATCGGGTTTGCTTGCAGATGGTCTTGGTGCCTGAGCTTGTCTGGAGATCACTGGACCATCAGCTGCCGACGACGGCATCTAGGGATCAGCCGGAGGCCGCACTCGTAGACTTCTTCTTTCTCTCACGCCATCCATCCCAACAGATTCACGGGAGCACCATTATCACCAAGACTACCAAAACCCATGTATGCCTGAAATACCCACTGAAGCCACCCGGTATCCCCATGAGGCCATCCCATACCCGCGCCCTAGCCGCATCGAACCAGGCTCCTTCTGGCCAACCATGAGAGACATGCAGAGCACTGCCTCATCCCAAGGACCTGTCTCTCTCGCCAAGCCAGCCATCCCTCGTCCATTGGCCCCCGCAGTCATGAATCTTGACAGCTCCAGCTGAAGAGATGCATCCCCACCTTCATTTGCAGTGGGACATTTATCCCTCAACGTTGGGAGAGACCAGACGTACATAAGGGTCCTGGATCGAACTGTTTCCAGCTCTGTTTACTTTGGCAACCACACCATCCTGCACACTTCTCAACCAAACAAACCAACCCCTTTCCACACCAGACACAATGGACTTTCTCAGCAAGGTCGCCGGCGAGGCCCTCAAGCCCCAGCAGTCTGCCCAGCAGCAAGAGCAGCAGCAACTTCAGCAGACTCAGACCAGCGGTGGCCTCCTCGGCTCCATTGTGTCTGCTGCCACTCAGTCTACCCAGCCTGTTACCACCAACACCCAGCAGCAGCCACAACAGACCCAGACCAGCGGTGCCTCTGGTCTGCTCGGCTCACTCGTCTCCAGCGCCACCCAATCCACTCAGACCACCCAGCAACAGCCCCAGCAGCCACAATCCGGTGCCGATGCCCTCCTCAACAAGCTCCACGGCGTTGTAGGCGGCGGTCCCGAGTCCGAGAAGAAGGAGGATGCTCTTGACAAGGGTACTTATCACCATTTTTCTTTTTACCCACCAAGTGCTAACTCAGAATATAGCTATCGACCTCGTCCAGGAGCACGTCTTCAAGGCCGGTCCTCAGACCAACGAGTCCGCCGCCGAGCAGGCCAAGGACAAGTTCATCGCCGACACCATCCGTGACGGCTACGAGAAGGCCACCGGCAAGGACTTCCCCATTGCCGCCAAGAAGGAGGAAGAGAACAAGATCACCGCTGGTCTCGGCGGCCTGGCTGGCAAGCTCTTCAAGTAAATTTTGTTCTCTGATCAGTCAGCATGGGCTGAGAGTATATACCATTCACGATTTATGACTTTAATACAATGATTATACCCCATTTTCCCTCCTTACTCAGGCTCAACCGGCCAATCCATCCCCAGCCGTCTCCTCACCTCCTCATCCTCAATCTCAAACACCTTCTCCTCCGGCACCAACCCCATCTCCTTCAACACCCCCACCGTTACCTCCGGTCTCTCATCAATCACTCTTTTCAACTCTCTCGCCTTGTCAGTAACATCCTCAATCTTCTTCACCATCCCGACCCATCTCTCACAGACCTCCCCGCCCGGAATCCCAATCTGGATACTCCTGTACCCCATCCTCTCCATCTTGACATCCCTCTCCGGATCCCACTGTATCCTCACACCCCCCAGCTTCTTCCCCCCTTGATCTCCCTTCTCCTCTGGGCTTCGGTGAGAAACCACACCCTGGGAAAGCAGCCAAAGGAAATCCTCGTGTGACATTGTGAGCGCCAGAATGCGGGATTGGTTGGCGTCTTTGAACGAGTAACCAGAGCGGTAGAGCATCCAGGCCCAGGAGGGCTTGATCCAGGTCATGCGGGTTGTTTTGAAGAGGGGGGAGGCGGTGAGGGATTGAGCAGAGACGGCGGCGGAGGCGATGGGGTGGTTGTAGGCTTGGTAGAGGGTTATTGATCGAGGGGTGTGGAGGGCGCGGATTTGTTTGTAGGGGGTGGGGGTGGACATTGTGCATGGTGGGATGTTTGCATGGGTTGGCGAGATGGTGGTGATTGGTGAGGGAGAGGAATTTGGGAGGTTTGACGGATCCGGTTGTGGAGAGGGGTGTTTATGAAGACTTCTAAAAGACTTCAAAATTGGATGGATAAACATATGTGTTCGACAAGCTGAGAGTCGAAGGCTGAAGATGAAGATCGGTGATGAGTCACTAGGGTGAGGGATGAGGCACGCTGATAGGTCAGAGCCTCAGCCCTGATATGAGGCTGGTTTGAATGTCTTGTCCATCTGGGAACGCCATGCGATACGACGACATCAATCCAAACAGCCACCGAGAGAGATGATGTTCAATTCTTGATAGTGCAGGTCAAGCTTTATTTTCATGTTCTAGTCTTTCTTATAGCCACAACTATTCGTCTGGGCCGCTACCTACCTAGGTACCTTTTGTCGATTAATCTAGCGTATATCGCTGCGAATATGATGGTTCACTGTCTATGCAAGACCCTCGGCGCTTTCAATTGCCTGTACCGCTGGACGACCGCGTAAGGCCAACGGAGTTGTTTTAGCAGGACTCTTGACCCTATTCACAATAAAGTATTGCTCGTCCTCTCCACTAAAGCTGGGGCGAGCTCGTTCTGCCTCCCGGATTGACTTGGCGTGTTCTATACCACATTCCAAACAGCTTTGTCCTGAAGCAACAAGAGGAATGCCGGACGAAAGTGCCATTGTCGTATTGAATTTGAAAGCGGAATCCAAAACGTGAGACGTACGGATGAGAAATGGCGACTCCAGCTTCAATCGCTTCCGGGGCGGTGATGTTGAAGAAGAAGGCCCGAGCCGATCACCACTCATGTCCATGTCCGAGTTCTCAGCATCTGAAACAAAATCGGAGTCTTCGTCCGAGCAGGAATCCACCGTTTCACCCTCATTGCTGATGTTGTCCGTGTCTGTGTCGTAATTCGGCTCTCCCCAGCGTCCGAGTAGTTCCCCAAAGCCATGTACCTCGACGGAAGTCCCCCGAGGCACCAGCGCTTTGCCGGCGGGTGGATGAGCGCAAGCAGGAATCTCGACCGAGCGATACAACTGTCGGAGTGTATTGCTAGGGTCAATCATTCGCGAGTGTTCCTCAGACGCGACCCTCAGCAGAAGCATTTTTTTGACCTCGTTCACCGGCACAAGGATCCAATCCCATTTCTCCTCAGATTTGTCCGCCTCTAAGGACAACGCAGCTCCTGCCTCATACACCTCGGGCGGCAACCGCGAGTTAAATTCGGACACGTCTTCAGTCCTCGGTGCTTCAAAAACACACATGTCACCCGCCATCCTCCTGAAAACATGCTGGCCGTCAACCTCCCCGCTGTCCAGCGTAAGCTGGCCCTGCACGACCTCGAACCGGAAAGACCGCGTACAACTCAGGGGCTCGGAGATATCCAGCCAGGGAGCGATGACGGCAAGAGAGCCATACTGAACAGCAACGATGCTCGGTGTATCGGCAACAAACCATGGGCCACGGGAGTTCTTCTCCTGCCCCCGGAGGAGGTCCTGGGAGCTAACGCCAAGAAAGACACGCAGCGCTGTGTCAAACATAGTAGACCACTGGATGGTACCTCGCGACGTATTGGTAAGAGTGTCAGACCCCCTTCGGGTGATGGCGTTCCTCAAAATTTCCCAGCCGCCGAGGTCCCCCCGGAGATTATCTCCCAGTGATGTGGCTCCGCAGGCATCAGGTGCCCCAAACGCATCCGCGATGCCATGGGAAAAGTAGAACATGACCTCACTAACGGCCATGTATGCCAAACAGTTCTCGTCGTAACGAAGATGTTTGCTTTCATCACTAGGCCGTTTGAATGACCTTTCCGCGCAACAATATGGGCATTCACACAGTTTCGCAAGATCGTCAACCAGGTCTCGTAGGATGGGGAAAAACACGAGAATATCGTTGATCAGATCCTCAGTCTTCTGATCCGATGAACCCCACAATTTTTGGGGGTCAGTCGAGTCATTCTCTTCGACATCTTTTGCTGAGAAGACGACAGAATGCTGTTTCGGCTGGTCGCTGCACATGTTAAGAAGCGAAGGACTCCGGCCTAGCAAATCTCCGACTTTCAGGGCGTGAGAGTTGTCCTTTGTGGCACTGAATAGCTCAAGGCTGAATGAAGGGCATCTAAAGCGAGGAATGTGGTCTTTCACGACCGGCAGCCCCAAAAACCATGTCAAAAGTTCTCGCGCGGCCACCCAGGTAACGTTCTTGATTTTTTTCTCTTGTTTCGGGTAACGATGCGGCCACTCGTAAAGAGGTTGGCGAACAAAGACTCCTCCGCGGGGGGATGCAAAGCTGGAATAGTCGTTTTTGAATAATAGATGTAGGCTGCCTGCGATGCTCTCAAACACGCGGATGCTGTGGTCGCGAGGGTCCTTCTCCTCTCGATCTCTCTCGAAGAACGAGCACTTTTTTGGTTCCTCCGCGCAAAATACGGCCACACGACATTCCACAGTTCCCTCCTCCGGACCCAGTACACGGTCATAGACGATCCTGCCACTGACAACAACACGGAGGCGTCCTGCATAGTGCCACGACAACCACAAAACAAGGTTGGTCAAGATATGCTTGCTCTGAATGATAATTTCCCGTGAAGACAACCGGGAGATCTTGGAAAGAAGGATAGCAAGCTGATACTCGTCGAGGTCATGGCCCTCGGTACAAGCCCAGTCAAATTCGTCGGGGAGACGCGGGCATTCATTATCGTTGCCGAGCAGCCCTGCGTTACCAACGTGAAGCCACGTGGATTCGACCACCTTACTGACGACGGGGTCTAATCGGAGTTTCTCCGGCATCGAGTTGATCTTGTATTGCCTAGGCGGCACCTCACCGCCCTTTTGTGCGCTGAGGATCAGAAAGAAAGAGAGGAAAGACTTGATATAGCGTTGGTCGTGGTACCGGAATAGGCAGCAGATGGTGGACGAGATCCACTGCTGTAAAGGATCGCTGGCGAGGTATTTTCCCATGGATCCGAACGGCTGCACACCAAAGGGCACTACCGTCGACTGCCGACGGGTCGTGGTAACCGCACTGAAGAATCTCAGAACCCTCTCATCGCGGTTGGGCATCGCCAGCGCCTGGGTTTTGGCAAGAAAGAAACGAAGTTCATCTTCCTCAACCCCCTCTCTCCCTAGCCAACGGCCCAGCTCCCGGGCAATCAATGCCACGGTTCCTGTTCCTTCGGTCAGTCTGCCAAGTACAGCGAGGAGATCAATAGTGCGAGTGGAAAGATCCATCGCCTTCGCGACTAACTCCATGTTGTTTGAATTCGACATGGTGGAAGCTTATGGGCAGATACCGTGTGTTGAACGTAAGAGGTGAGCTCTTTTTGCTGGTATCGGGGAGTTCAGGTCAGGGGGGGAAGGGAGGGGGAAAGGAGCAATCGGGCGATGATGGGAGAAAGAGAGGGGGGCAGAGGCAAAAAGAGAAATGGAGGAGAACGACCAGTGAGCGCAGAATGCAGTCTTAGCGATGCCGTTAGGCATTCTTGGGCTATGCCATGCAATATTGGCTGTGTGCTTGATAGCCTGCATGAGAATGTGCGCTGGCAGATGAATTGAAGTTGCACAAATGCCTGATAGGCTAGGTTCAAGAGCAGGCTGGAAAAGATCAAGCCAACATTATAGCTACTTACACATGAGCTGGGCAGCCACAGCCAGACGTTAAAGCGGCAGGATATCACGTGGGGTAAACACCATCAAAATTGACATCTCAAAGCCAAGCTACAAGCTACACGCCGGTGGCTTAAAGAATCAGGTAGGTAAGAATGTCCAAGCTGAACTACCCGGCAGTCTGCACAACAAACAGTCAGAAACCTGAGAAGCAGTTTCACAAAGGTGATATCGCAAGTCTTGTGCCTGAGCTCTATTAAACCCAATGGTCATTGTGCTCGGACTATTCCAAGTCCCTTCCAGGTTTATAAGAATTAACTTGAGTAATTGCTTCTCAAAGCTTACACCTATTTATCTACATAGGTACCTAGGTAAGGTAGTTGTATAACAATGACTACGTGTTGCCTCGCTAGCATCACCAAGATCACCTCCTATTCCCATTCTTTCCGAAGCCTTCAGTCGCCAAAATACCGATAGCTCTTATGATCTTGTTCTTCTTGAATTCGACAAGTTCGTTCTTGTTGCGGCGGGCCCATGTGGAACAGGGCACATTGACTGGCGTCTCGACTGCCGACGAAGGCCCTTCCGGTAATAATCCTCAACCCAAAACAGCTTCTGTACCATTTCCGGCTGCATGCCACGACCAGCCCACATCAGAACCCCAGTGTCCTTGTCAGAGCGTGGGAACCAAATCGTTGCTGCCCCAATATCGTAGCAAAAGTCGTCGAATGGCTGAGGCATAGACTCCCGATGAGCCAGATATCTCTCCCAGTCCACCTTCCCGTCAGCTATTCCCTTTGAGCTGCGTTTGCAAAAGTTTGAAAATGTCGTCGTATTCGTCGTTGAATCGATTCCATCTTCTATCCCAGTACGAGAGGATTGATTGCTTGACGTGGTCGTCGAGAGCGCGCGAGTCTATTTTGGCAACTCCTGGGCTGGCCATTTTACAATCGATAGCTTTTCCCCAGTCGTCTTGTACAGCATAGATTAAGAGCCATAGATTGATGTGTCGGCGGCAGGGAGGTGGTGACTTTGGTTGTTGCAGCGATTTCAGGGGCGCCGTTACACGGTCTTGAGCTCTTTGTGCAAGGGGATACGATTTCTATGTGCTCACGTTTGTGGTCTTTGCAGGTGGTAAACCGCTGTATTGTACCGATAGACAGGTATTTAACTGCGCGGCACATGACGAAGTCGAAGATAGATGTTTCGCGCTTGGTAGAAAACTGGAGGTTTTGTAGTCAGAAATGGTTAGAATAGAGTATGGTTGCTGAATGGGTAATAGTTGTCTGCAATGGCCAAGAGGGCTTTATGTGTGGGAGTGGGTAGGTATTCTCGTTCTGCAGTTTTTGTCATTAGTTTCTTGACTTTGAAACATGCATAGATGCGATGTGCTACCGCGTGACATGATGCCAGGTCATTTCAGTACTTCATGATACGTTAAAGTTTTGACATGTCCTTGCGAGATCAGTTGAAACTGGCAGACCTCTGCCTCCTCTCATCCTATGTGAGTGGCTCAACTTCCGTGGGTCCCGTGCATCCGCCTATCCGGGAGCTCGTTATGAACCCAATGTTGCTTAGTTCCCACATCGAGGTATAATTTGGGAAGCAAGACTATTGAAAAAGGCAATACAGGCTCAATTAACGGTGATGCTAAACCCTGAACTCTGGTGCATTTCTGTCTCCAGGATACAAAATATTGTTAAGCTTAACCATGACACAAACCATGACACAAGGAAAATGCCAAAAACAACAGCACCACCCGCAAGATCCAGTTCGCTTCAGCGCGCTTTAGTCGAAAACAGAACGAAAATCAACCATTCTAGTTCCCATATTGACACCATAGCCCGAAGTCGTCGGTGAGACTTTCTCGCAGGAGCTCAACGTGGCTGGAGTGTGGAAGCTATGTCTTTGTGTCTTGGGTAACGTCCTCAAACCAAAATAGGCGTTGCACCTCTTGGGGTTGCCCGTCCTTCCACTTCCATAGTTGAACACCTCAGCTGCTGTCGGCGAAGAGCTGTCCTGCCCTTTTCATATCTCTACAAAATGAAACCCACTGGCTGGTATCAGGCGGGGCATAAGGGGCTTGGGTTGTATAATCGTAGCCAGGTGCCCCTTCACGATAAAGACTAGGGTAAGTTGTCCTGTGATGATAAATGCTGTTGGTGTGGCCCAAAAATCTCCCAAATCGTCGATCCTAGTAGCTCATGATGGCGTCTTTGACCAGAAGTTCGTAGCTTGGTAGTTCAATCTTCTTCAGGTCGTCGACCATCAGTGTTCGTTTCATTAGGACTACGAGTTCCAGGCCTGCTGCACTTGATTGATGTATTTGTTGAGATGGTCAGAACACGGGAGCGGAATGACAATCGTGTAGCTTGAACGGAACCGACATGGATGGAAGCCGCATGGCTGTGCAATAACCTCAAAGGAACAGGTTTCTGTTTCACAGTTGTGGACTGTGACTGGCTGAGCAGAGTGGCAAGAATCAGGGTCCTGGATTGTGCCTCTATAATCGAACCAATCTACCACGCACATGTTGTTGAACTGATGTCCGATAGACCAAAGGCGCGAGATGACGAGGTGGGTAGGCTTGAAAGACTCAAAACTCTTCCTTTGTTGATCGTTGCAATGATAATGGGAAAGGATGTAGCTTCATGGAGATCCTCGAGGAGACTCAATTGGGCGCGTAAATTACCCAAACGGCCCAGGCCTGAACTCACTACTCCCGGCTCACCGAGGAAAGGGCTACTTAGAGGCGGGGTGTGCCAGTAGTTCCTGCCTCAACCAACCAGTGGCTCCACATCGAAGCCCTCCAGGGGAAAAGAGCCCTCTATAACCGGCTTAGAGAGAAAGAATAGCTGGTGAACTTGCTCTGCACAACTTCGACCTGGCTCAGCTGCTCGCCATTTTCCAGCTTCATGATGACAGGTTACACAGGCTGGTAGTTTGATACGTAGTACAATATAAATGTTTCAGAGAAGTCTGTGTCCCAAAGTCAGCTCTTATCATACTGGGCCGGATGTTCATGTTAAAGGTGGTTGAGATGGAATAGGGGTTCAGGGGCTGCACAGCCACACTCAAGCCACACATGGGACGAGCCACAAGCTGACGCAGAAATGGCCCCACCCTCTCCAACAACACACCCCTTCTGAATGGGAATTATTCTCTCTCCAATATTGCCATGAACCCTTGCGGCCTTGCTGCAGGCACAAGTTGACACCCGACCCCCTGAACTGTTTTAATTTACGCATTGCTGGTTCGGAGGATGGTGTTGAATGGCATGGCTGCCAAGGCAGAGAGCAGCATGAAAGTGGATGAGGTCATCGAGGCACGCTCTCACCAATACGACCCTGTGTTCCTGCCGGCAAGGGAACTGCCGGCAACCGGGCCAAGGCACGGCCACACTCGACATGTTGTTGCTAGGATCGAGATTTGGACCATGGAAAGCGGTTCTTGACGAATTCCCATTTGCTGCTGCCCGCGGCCGATGATGTCGTTGCCTCTGGAGCGTTGCTTTCCACTCCAACAGCTGTCAACCTGCTGGAGCCCCGTTGCACAAACCGCGTTTGCTGACCACCAAGCTTGACCTTGCACCGTGTCCTGGATCTTCACACCTCCAGGCCGTTTTGGACGCCTCCACGCCTCTAGTGTAGAGTGCCGAGAAACATGGGCAAAAGGAATGGAAAACAATGAAAGCGTAAGAGGGGTTGTTATTTTGCATTTCCTGATTCTTATTCGTATTTCTGGGCACATTAAAGTAAAGCCCACCCTCTCGTCTTCCCCATGCACCCTCCACAGACTCGGGTTGTGAGCCGCTATGCTTCCCTCTTCTTCACCATTTTCTCGCCCCATTATATCACTGGAACAACACTTCCAGGAATAGCACACATTCGGCTTCCCGTGCTGTGACCTCATTGCTTGCGTGTGGCTGGTGGCCTTTCCTACCCTCCAAACCTGCTAGGTCAAAGTGGCAACACTGGCACCCTTCCTTATCGTTTTGGGCCAGAGGTCGGCGGCGATCGTCATCAGTGGCTTTGCAGCAGGACGCAGGAAGACGCAACACGACACTGCAGGACGGCTGCTGTCACCATGGCCGTCGGCCAACTACCGAAGAGCTCTTCGGACCCTGAAATATCCTCGACCCGCCCCGCCAGGCCCAAGTTCCACCACAGATGCACCAATGATCGAATTCGCGAAGGCTCAGGAACGCCGCCGTTATTCTTCTCCATGACGGGAAAGATTCGAAAAGATCGCAAGTCGGTGTTTAGGGAGGTTGGCTTGGACACGGAGGAGCCCAACGGTCCCTATTTCAGCGAGCACGAGTTTGGAGAAATCACGGGACTTGCCTCACCAACAAGCACACATCGACCAGACACCGCGCAGGGAAATACGAGTGACGATGGGAAGGACGATACTGAACAGCGGCAACCACGAGACGAGCGAGACGAAGCCGAGTCACCAACATCACCATCACAGAAGCCGTGGTACTCGAGGTTGACGCCCGGTCGACGGCCGAGAGTGAGGACAGCATCAAGTGCGCCGCCTCCCAGCGTTTCTAGCTTCACGCGACTTTCCACGATTGCACTGCTTATTGCTGTGGTAATTCCTGCGTTTAGTTATTACAAGGGTGCTGAGGAGGTTGCGCCGCTTGCTGGTGCCGACGCCGGCGTGATCTACTATCGAGATATGAAGCCCGGGCCGATACTCGAGACGAGGGCTGACAGCCCAACCAAAGCGTGCAAGCGATGGGCTCATCAGAGTGAGTTGACCGGCTGCCTACTTTGTGTCACAACTTGACAACGCTGACTTTTGAAACAAGCCGCCCAGCTGAACGGGACTCTGTACATCTACGGCGGCCAGGCATCGAATACGCCCGACCAGACGTATGACAACTGGAGTAAGCACCTGTCACTTATCGCACCTTTACCTGTTCCTTGCTCACCTCTCTGCAGACAACAACCTCCTCGTCCTCGACCTGACCCGCAGCTGGGACATCACCTCCCCCTCCCTCCGCGGCCTCCCCCAGCCCTCCGGTCCCCCCGCAGTATCCCTAGGCTACCTCTGGAACGACTACAACAACCTCTACCTCTACGGCGGGCAATTCTCAGACAAACCGGTCGCAGACGTCCCTCCGCTTTCCATCTGGCGCTACTCGATCAAGTCCCAGTCCTGGGACGAGTTCAAAAACCCAAAGACAACCGCGGGGAATTATTCCACCGACGCTGACATCCCCCTTGAGCGCGCCGCCGAAGGAGCTGGTATCTCTGTGCCTGAGTTGGGGTTGAGTTGGTATTTTGGTGGACATCTAGACAGCCACACCACACCTGGATGGTCGATACATGTGCCAAGGTTGTACCTGAAGAGTTTGTTGGAGTTTACCCACCCGGGATATGTGAATGACGGGTTGAGGATTGATGGGGCGGGGAGTGAGGGTGCGTTTAGGAATATTACCGAGGGAGGGTTGCAGGTGCAGGATGCCTTCTCGGAACGGGGAGATGCGGCGCTGGTGTTTGTGCCAGGCTGGGGAGAGAGGGGGATATTGATTGGTTTGGCGGGAGGGAAAGTGGGAGGGGACCTGATTGATGATTTGAGGACGCTGGATGTTTTTGACATCGAGACGTCAGAGTGGTATCATCAGGAGACGACTGGGGAGGCGCCGAGGGTGAGGGTGAATCTTTGTGCGGTCGTGGCGAGCGCGCCGGATGCGAGTAGCTTTCAGATCTATGTGTATGGTGGTCAAGATCTTGAGGTGAGGCTTCCCTTTTTCTGCAATCCGAAGAGGCAAACACTGACATCTTGCAGGAAACACAAACTCAGTACAACGACATGTACATCCTCTCCATCCCCGCCTTCACCTGGATCAAAGCCCCCTCGTTCTCCTCCTCCTCCACCGCGCCCAAAGCCCGCGCCGGCCACACCTGCAACCTCCGCGACGGCCAAATCATTGTTCTGGGAGGCTACACCGGCGCCTCCACCCCATGCGAATCCCCTGGCATCTGGGTCTTCAACGCCTCCTCCCTCACCTGGTCTTCCCGCTTCAACTCCCTCGATCACCCCCCGGACATCTCCCCCGAGAACTCCGTTTTAGGCGCCTCCTACGGGTACACCGTCCCCGACCCCGTAGCAGAAGTAATCGGCGGCTCCCCCTCCGGCGGCGCAACAGTCTCCCAACCCCTAGTCGGTAAACCCACCGCCGGTCCCTTCGCCACCGGCAAACCCCCCATCTGGACACTCCCAGGTAGCACAGCAACCGTAACCGCCTGGGGCCCCGACGCAACCTCCACCGTCCCCCCCGGCTCCGACCCCCAATCTCCCGACAGCAACAACAGCAACAATGACAATGCCGAATCCCGAAAAGGAGGCCTCATCGCAGCAGGCGTCATCGCCGCCCTGGCCGGGCTAGCAGCCCTCTACCTAGGCTACTGCGCCTGGCTGTACCGCCGCCAGGTAAAAGCCTACCGCTCCCACCTCGCCGTCGCAAACCGCTACTCCGGTCCGGCAGGAGCCTCAACCGGCACCTTTTCCGGCCTGGCGGCCTTCTTCGGCGGCGGGAGAAAAGGAAGCAAAAAGTCCAACAACAGCGGCAGCAACCACGGAACGGTCGTCACGGAAAAAGAGCGGTACTACCCCTCCAATCGGATGTCTACCTCCACGACGGACTCACTTTTTGCGACGTCGTCCGGCGCAGGGGGGGTGGAGCCAAGAACAATGTTTGACGACGACGACGGCGCCCACCACGATCTTGGGGTACCACAGCGGCCGGGGCAGTGGTGGAGAGATCAGGAGGGTGGTCAGGGGAGTAGCCAGACTGCGGTCAATACTACTGCTTCTGGACCTTCGGGGGCGTCACCTGGTGATCATATTCAGGACGAGGAGGTTGGGATGGGCAAAAAGGTTGAACGAAGGGGGAGTACGAGCGGGGAAAGCGCCAGTTCGACGGAGCGGTTGCTCGAGGGGCAGGAGCCGAGCTTTTTCAGCGTGGTGATGAAGCCGAGGAGGGCGTTGAGGGTGGTGAATGGGTTGGAGGGCGAGGTTACGAGCGCTTGAGTTGGGTAAAAATGACTGGGTTTCTGTCGTTACTACTTTCTTGTTGGCGAAGTTTGGATACCCCCTTTTTTTCTGGATCGGATGGGAAGCCGTCATTTATGTACACGGGAAGAGAAATGATGATTACGAGGCAACGAGAAATATATACGACTAGACTCATCTTGATGTAAATGCAGAGCCTTCAAGGACACTGGACTTTTCAGATGCTGTGTTGTTACCAAAATGTATGTACATTAAACCGATATATTTCCGTGCGCCGCTTTGTCCCATATTCTGTGGCCGTATGCCTGTGATCCCGTTTCGGCAAGGGCAGTTGTGGTCCTAGTTAAACTCCTATGCACAGATCCCATGTTTCCCTTGTTATGCATGTCCATCTGGACTTGTGCGCATTTTCAGCGCTGGTATAATTCGTCATCAACAGCTCAAATCACTCCATTCACCATCCCACCGAGCCCTTTAAACCGCCGGCTTCAGCTCCCCATTGCCACCGCCAACAATCTCTTGGATCCTATTCTGGATACCACTGATGCAGTCCAAGATAGTATTTGCTTCCCTTACCCGGTCAGCACTCATGAGATGGTTGGCAGCATCGATGCCCAGAGCCATAACCCTTTGTACATAAGGTGGCATCTTTGGCGCAGCTGCTGGATCCCACTGCGACAGTAACCGCTTGACAAAAGAGTCGTCTTCGCGGAAGTACTGCAGCGCCAGCTCTGCGGACGGATCTGTTGGGTGGTACAAGTCAAGATGAGCCCTCTCGTGCAAGCGACGTTCCAGCTCGATGCTCATGGTCACGAAGGGCTCAAAGAGACTGACAGGTGCCTTGGCATGCTTCCATGAAGCAACGGTGCTGTTCCATGCTACTAAACTCCAAGCATCACCCAGTTGGTTCAATGGGAGCTCGTTCTTCTTGAGCATAGACTCTACCTGGATGACGGAAGAATAGGCGTCTCGGAGTCCTTCGGTACACGTGTGAGCAGCAATAAAGTGCTTGATAAGAAGGTCGGAGCATATCCTCGAGTGCATGGTGTTGACAGATGATGCTTGCTTCATCACTCTCTCCAGCCAGATCCACACCATGTCGTCAAGACCCTCGGCAATCATGAAGCGTAGCAACAGGACGCTGAACTTTTGGTTGCTGAGCCAGGAATAGGTGTTGTGTTGTCCGGAAGCCTTGAGCCATTGGAGGACGAGAAGACCGGCGCCGGTGCCTTGTAATGGTACATAGAGTGGTGATTGGCTTAACGTGTTCTTCTCGGCTGTCTTGAAGATTTTGAGGAGGAATCCATGGGCTCGTGGAATTGTCATGAGGCCCTTTGCCACAGCTTGTTGAAAAACCTCCTTGTCATGGTCGTATGGAGAGCCTATCCCCGGTGTTCGACATGGTGATGACGCTTGGTTGAGCAAAGGGTTGTTGAGGATGGAGTGCAGATGGACATCGGTAGGTCGGTGGGGAACGTCGGGCTTCTCAGCTGAGGAGGCAGAAGCTGAAGTCAGGGTTGTTGATGCTTTCGGGCCGGATAGGGGGTTAGGTGAAGGGCCATGCTGCCTGTCCAACTCGCTGCGAAAGGAGGTTTTGAGGGCATCGAGGAGGCGCTGGGAATCGCGTTTGCTGAGGGGCAGCGGTTGATGGATTGGGGGCACCAAGCTAGATATCGTCTTGGAGACGGCCTGCCACCCCTTTGCTTTGGACATTTTGTGGCTGGTTGACTGTCGGGAAGGGTGATTGTATCTAGGTGATCACGGGTGACGAGCTCAAGCTTGGACTCCTTGGTGTTGACTTGCTTGACGTGAGCTGATGACGGTTCAACCCCACACCAGCCAGCTGAGGTCCATATTTCATGACCAATCAGAAAAGAGACAATGTTCCCACTCTGTGCGCAGTAATGCCAAGGCGATGCTATCTTATCAGTTCCGGCATCCCCTCTGTCACGTGCCACTTTCCCGACTCTAAAGCTCTTAAGCAAACATCTGTCAAGAGGTGAAACTCGACCGACGAGTCGTACTCTTCTCCCTGGCTGGTGTGAAAGTTGAGCCTCTCCGCAGCTTTAAGGCTGGTGCCCGTTACATGCTACCGGCCACCGGTCCCCATAGTAGCTTTTCTGAATCAAGACAAGCGACAAGACCATTCACAGCCGGAAGCAGCCGTGCTTCGTGGAGTTCAGTAGGGACGACGCTGATTGCCCAGATCATCCTCCTGCAAACAGTGGCTGGTGCCCCTCCACCAAACGCCGGTTTCGGGCATCAACGGTGTGCCAGAATATGGAGAAATTCCATAGCATTTGGCATTTCCACCGCGACAGCACAATCAAGAAGATAAACATTGATTTGTATTCTGTATCATCGACATCAGGGTTACCTATGTATGTGATGTGCACCCAACAGCTTGACGCTATGCCGTGTTGGGGATCGTACCTGGCCAGAGCCCTGACGTCGTCTGGTTCCAGGGTCCTTGATTGGAGAGGGCGGCATCTCGTCCATTCTGGGGAGGCTGCAGCTGAATTGCTGCATTTTCCTGCATACCACAGCCCTTCTTGCCCTCCCAGCCCTCTCTGTCGGGGTTGCTTTTGCCCCTTTTCCTTTGTTTGACAAGCCGGTTGGTTACCTTTTGCCCCAGACTTGGGGTCTCTCCTGATCAGACTAAGTCGGGTGATCAGGTGCCTCTCCAAAGAGGCAAAACCCCATCTTTCACTCAGCTCTGAATCATTGTGGTGAGCAAAGCGGTGGGGTCCCCCAGTTGTCTCCAGTTGTCTCCAGTTGCAGCAAAGGGCACCGATCCCAAGGAATTCCTCGTGACAGATGCGTTGTTGTGTTTATGCCTAGACTTGGGTTGGTTAAGAGAGGTACCTGACCAGGTACCTTACCTTGGGAAAGGTATGGCGGGGGAGGGGATGCCCTGTGCAAAGTCCAGAGGGATACGTACAATGGAAAGGAGCTGTAAACAGGATCCGGGAAAAGGAATCAAATCTAGAGGGAAGGAAAAATGAGAAATATATCTTGGACCATCCATATCTACAAAGTGAAACAATGACTTCGAGGCTGCCCTGGCGTGTTTGGTGCCCTGAGGTTGGGGGCTGCTTGGTTGCATTGGGACGCGGTGAATGGTGGGTTTTTAGGTGCTGGCTGCTGGCTGCTGGCTGCTGGCTGCTGGCTGCTGGCTGGCTCTGTTGCTGGGTGTGGGTGGTCACTGCTTTCGCAGGTGCACTTTGTGAGCGGACCAATTCTGAATCGACAAAATCTGGCCCAGGGTGTGTGTGTCTGTCTTTGCCTCGCTTCCCTTCGACAATCCGCACTTGGCTCTCCTGCCACTTCCTACCGACAACATCGGCTCGATCTCATCTTCCCGGATCGCATCTCGATTCGATTCGACTCTCCCCCAACCCCCGACCGCTTTTTGACCAACGACCTGACTATCGTCGACTCGACCCCCCCATTTTGCCCCGACGTCTTGTCCCTCGCACAGTCAAAACCACTCTTCTCAGTGATTTGAACCGGGCTGCCGCTGGTGACGCGACCCGTCGCCAAATTTCTTCCAACCACCACACCACATTCACACTCTCAGCAATGTCTGAGGTACAGAGCAGGCCATCTGCCCCGCGCGGCAGGGGCTCCGCCCGCGGCGGTCGCGGCGGCTTCTCAACTCGGGGAGGAGGTCGCACCGCTGCCCGTTCTGCTGGTACTAATGGCACCACGCAACACGACACAGAATCATCTTCGCCAGCCCTGGAGGACGAGGGCGAGATTAGCGAACTCCGCAAGCTCTACGGCCAGCACATTGTCAACATCAAGAACATCGTGTCCGACTGGACCGATGCTGATATCCTCTACGCTCTCCGCGAGACGGACGGCGACCCGGATGAGGCTGCCTTCAAGATTCTGGACGGTAAGCTGACAATGGTTCTGCTGATGCCTTTCCCCTTACTAACGCTGTTCTGATTTCGCTAGGCACTTTCTCCAAGTGGAACGAGGTTTCGAAGCCCGTGAAGACCAAGGCTAAGAATGACACATTCACCACAACGACTGCCGATTCTGGCGCTGCCGGCGGCCTACGGAACGCAAGAGGTGGCCGTGTCGAAGGTGGCCGTGGTCGTGGCAGAGCGACCGAGCGCGGCGGTCGTGGAGGCGGTCGCGGAAAGTCGATCCACCCTTCGACCAACGGTCCCCGTGTCAAGGAGAACCAGCCTCTCTCTGTCCCAACTGAGGAATCTAACGAATGGGATACCTCTGCCCCGACTGCCGAATCTAACGAATGGACCGAGTCCACCCCCGCCGAATCTGCTCCTGCTCCCGCCGCCGTTGAACCTACCCCTGCCGCTGCCCCCGCAAAGCCCTCTACCGATGCCCCAAAGACATGGGCCAGCATGTTGAGACAGTCGACCACTCCTAAGCCTGCCCCTAAGCCTAAGGAAGTACCTGCTCCCCCTCCCGCCGAACCTACTCCCGTCATTGAGCCACTTCCCCCCGCTCCCGCCGAGCCCGAGGCCGTACCCGAGCCCGAGATTGCTGCGCCAGTCGAAGAGAAGGAAGAGCCTGTTCCCGAACCTGTCCAGGAGGAGCAGCCCGCTGTTGTTGTTCCTGTCATTGAGCCAGTCATTCCTGTTGTTCCCGTCGTACCCGCTGTTGCCATTCCCGAAGTTGCCTTGTCACCTTCCAAGGACGCGCTTACGGATGAGAACCTCGACAAGGTCCCTGGCACAACCGAGCCCCCAGCGACCGAGACCGCGAGAAGTGAAGCTGCCGACTCTTGGGATCCCAGAGCCGCTGGCAGCGCTACAGCAACTCCCTTGTCTGCTTCCCAGCAACAGCACCAGGCCGAGCGCACTCCCAGCAGTGGCTTCGCCGCGACTGCGACCAAGGCGACAACTCGCACCCCAGCTTTCCCCCGTCGTGTTTTGGATCAGCTCGAGGCCGTTCGCATGCCCGGCAACCGTGCCGAGGTCGAACGTACTACTGTCCAGTTTGGTGCTTTCAGCCTGAATGGTGGCATTGAGGACGACATTGATGGCGATCGTGAAGAGCCTGAGACCCGTCCCCAGCCCCCCCAGGATTCTCCTGTTGCCCAACCCAGAGCTTCGCTTCCCCCTGTTCAGCCCCCAGCGGCTCCAGAGAGCTTCCCTACCCCTACCCAGAAGCCTGTTTCCCAGGTTCCAACAGGTCCTGCTGGTATGGCTTCTCAGACTTCCCCTGCTGTCTTGTCTTGGTTACTTGCTGACACAAATCTAGCCGCTGCTCCTGCCGCGGTCCCTGCCATCACCCCAGTTGCCGCCCCAGGTATGCCCATCTCACTTGCATCACAGACGAGGAACATGTTTCTAACCGACATAAACAACACAGCTCCCCAGCCGACCGCGCAACACAACCAGCAGCAGTATGGTCGCTTTGGCCAACAGACTGCCGCTCAAGAGCACAGCTCCTTCCCTCCCTCGAAGCCTTTCGATTCGTTCGGTCAGCAGCAGCCCGCCGCTGCCTCCACTCAATCGCAGTTCGAGGGCGGCTTCCAAGGGCAGACGCAGCCTGCTGCCCAAACCCAGAACCAGCAGCAAGCGTTTAGCTCTGCTCCCAACGATTATCCATCTTACTACACATCTGGCGACCAAAGAGGTTTCTATGGTGGCTATAACTACAACCAACAGCAGGGCTCTCAGGACGGCCCCTCTTCGCAAGCCCAGCGTTTCGGTGGATATGGCACCACCCAGACTGATAACATCAGCCAGTACCCCCAGAGCGGTGCCCAACACGGCCAATCCCGCTTCGGTTCTGGCTCCGCTCCCTCTGCGGAAACACCAACCACTACGGCTCCTGCTACGTCGGCGTCGTCGGCTCTTCCCCAGGCCGGCCAGACTAGCCAGACTCAACATGGTCAGCAGCCTCAGCCCGATCAATATCCCTACCACCCTTACTCCAACAGCCCTTACTATGGTGGGTACATGGGCGGATATGGACAGTACGGTCAGGGCGGCTATGCTCCCTACGGCAAGGGCAATGTGGGATATCAGCCCAACCAATACGGTGTTGCGTCGCAGGGACCTTATGGCTACTCCAACCCTAGCGCTGGCTTTGGCCAGTCTGCTCTTCACCGGGAGACCGGTGGCGCTGCTGCGGGCGCTGGTGCTGGTCTTGGCGATTACGGTCGTGCGGGATCTCAGTCGGCTCAGCAGCAATCTGGATTTGGTGGCATGCATGATGCCTTCAGCCGCGGTGCTTCTGGCTACCAGTCCCAGGCTGCGTCGTTCAACGCTCCCGGCACTCAGCCCGGCGCTGTCCCCTCTGCTGTCGACGACATTAAGTCCTTCGGAGATGCCAAGGGCGCTGCCGGACCCAGCCCCTCTCTCGGCGTCGCTGCCCGACCCGGCTCCGCGGCGAACAACGGCCCATCTCAGTCTGGGCTTCCTCCTCCGCAATCTGCCCAGCAGACCAACCTGGGCGGTATGGGTCAATACGGCTATCCCGGTCACATGCAGCAGGGCCATGCTGGCCTCCACGGCAGCCACACGGCCGCTGGTGGCTACGGCATGAGCGCGACTGGCGGACAGAGCCAGCAGAGCTCGTACGGCTATGGTAACCAGGGCTTCGGCGGCGGTTACTACGGCGGAAACTCTCAGCCCCGTGGTTGGGGTAACAACTACCACCACTAAATTGGAGGGTAGAGAGAGAAGCGTTATCTGAGTTAGCAGAGGATGAGATGATGACCCTTTTTTCATGGTGTCCCATGTGTTATTACTGTCTTTGTTGCTGTCGTCGGGGCGTTTGAGATATTCAACGGGAACCGGGTGGGGGGGTTGGCAACGCAAAAAAAAGAGGGAATATTGATGTTTTTATGCCGGGGCTCCCAGGGGGGAGGGGGTTAAACTGCGGAAATATTCATGGCCTTTTCTGTTTTTTTTTTCTCTGCATTCTTTCCGCTGAAGGGAAAGAGGGGGGGAGCACTCGAAGCAAAAAGCACACATCCACATTTTTCTCTAAAAAAAAAGTTTCGTAGGCGAAATTGACGATGAGTTTGCCTTTTTATGTATCTCCTGTCGAGGGCCTTGCGGTATTCTTTTTTTTTTCCTTTGCCAATGTTTTCTTACCTCTGATTATCGTTGTTGTTGTTGTTGTTGTTGTTGTGGTGGTGGTGGTGGTGGTGGTGGTATGGGATTTTCTCTCTTACTCTTCTCTTCATTTGACATGAGATGAAATGACAAGAAAACCAAAGGGCATGAGACTGGGCGGGCGGGCAGGTAATGAGTGCATTTGGGCGCTTTTGCTTTTTGGGGGTGGGTGGTGGTGGGCGGAAAGGGGGGTCATCAAAAATTGATTATTGTTGCCATGCTTGCTGTTCGTTTGTGCGTGTGTGCTGTTGATGCTTTGCGTGTGCTTGACGGACGGCCTCGAGTTTGGCATGTTTTGATGTTTGTCCTGGGGCTGTGAATGTTGTCTGTTTCCCTGACAGGTATAACAGATAGGTAGGCAGGGAACAAAAGGCCACAAGTCCTGGCGACTACCTCTGATGCTTTTGAGCAACGCTTTTTTTCTCACGCTGGACTAGGTGCCCACCGAGGCCTTTTCACATGTATGTGCACAGCAACACGGTTGTATCTCAACGGTCACACTCGTCAGACAACGTCAACCAACAAGAAAATCCTTTCAACTCTACCTAAGGTACCTTTTGTTCCTTTTTTTTCCCTTCTGGCCAGTTAGTACATGTGATGTCATGAAGGCCGACATCCACGGTTCACAGCCACGTTCCCAGCAGACAGGATAGGACACCCCTTCGTCAGTTTGGTGGCACCAGCCACAGGAAAATTCTCATAAAGGCCTAATGTTCTTGCTGTTGTTACATGTTACATGTGATAAGACGAAGATGACGTATCCCTCGCAACGCCATATTCAGAGCAAAGAAAATAGGATAGACACTCGCGCCAAATGAAAAGAGGCCATCAAGTCCATGTATGTGTACCCCGGATCTCATTAGAACCCGATCAGGGACAGCCTTGTCCCCCTCGCCTCATAAGGCTAGCTAAGCCGGCCATCCGTCTCAGCCTCGCCACGATATCCCTCCCCCATCCTATCCCGCGCCTGTCCCTTGACAGTCACATCAAAACACGGAACAACCCAGAATTTATTTTATGATCTGTATCATCATAATCATGTCATTTATCCCTACCAAAACAAGACTACCTTCTGGTTGTTGCATCTATAGTCAATCCCAGGACCAGTCGCCGACCATCCATCCACCCAATACCAAAAGTCTTTCCTCCCAATCAACCCCATTTTACAACCTCCCCTTCACCCTCTCCTCAAGTCAAAACCCACCATAAGCCTTAAAAGCCCCCAACAGCCCCCCAGTGCTGGAATCATGCCCTGACCCAGCCCCCTCCTCATCAATCTCCTTCAAAATCTTCTTCGCCAACACCTTACCCAACTCCACACCCCACTGGTCAAAAGAGTTGATATCCCACACGGCACCCTCAGTAAAAGTGAGGTGCTCGTAGTAAACAATCAAGGCACCCAACTCAGCAGGGCCAATGGCACCACCAACAAGGATGCTCGTGGTAGGGCGGTTACCCATAAACACCTTGTGAGGCACCAGCTCCTCGGGTACATTGCCCTCGGCTCTGACCTCCTCGGCCGTCTTGCCCACCATGAGAGCCTCGGCCTGGGCGAGGTAGTTGGACGCGAGCATCTTTTGGTGCAGGTTGTCCGACACGGGGTTGTGAGACTTGGCCGCGAGGATGAAGTCCGAGGGGATAAGCTTAGTACCCTGGTGGACGAGCTGGAAGAAGGAGTGCTGGGCGTTGGTGCAGGGCTCGCCAAAGAGGATAGGGCCGGTGGTGTACTTGGCCGGGGAGCCGTCAGAGGTGATGGTCTTGCCGTTGGACTCCATCGAGAGCTGCTGGAGGTAGGCGGGGAAGCGGTGGAGGTACTGATCAAAGGGGGCGACGAGGTGGGTTTGGGCGCCGTAGAAGTTGGAGTACCACACGCTCAGGAGACCACCAATGGCCGGGATGTTCTCCCTGAGGGGAGCCTGCTGGAAGTGCTGGTCCATGGCATGGGCACCAGCCAGGAACTTGTGGAAGTTGTCGAAGCCGACGTAGAGGGCAACACTGAGACCAATGGCGCTCCAGACAGAGTAGCGGCCACCGACCCAGCTCTCGAAGCCGAACATGTTGGCGGCATCAATACCGAACTTGGTCACCTCGGACTCGTTGGTGGAGAGAGCAACGAAGTGCTTGGCGATATCACCCTTGCCGCCGGTCTTCTCAAGGAACCATGACTTGGCCGTGTTGGCATTTGTTGTGGTCTCGGCGGTTGTGAAGGTCTTGGAAGCGATGAGGAAGAGGGTCGTTTCGGGGTCGGAGTTGGCAAGAGCCTCGGCGATGTGGGTGCCGTCGATGTTGGACACAAAGTGAAGGGTCATGTCCTTGGCGCCATAGTGCTTGAGCGCCTCAGTAACCATCACCGGGCCGCTGTCATCCAGCGTTAGTCAAGTTCGGGGCTGGGAACCCCTGACCTTGTAGACCGGATGAAAAAGGGGTCATTCTTACAGATCGGAACCGCCAATACCAACATTGATGATGGTTGTGAGCTTCTTGCCGGTGTAACCCTTCCACTCGCCGCTGCGGACTTGCTCGGAGAAGACGCGCATGTGCTCGAGAACATCGTTGACACCACCCTTGGCGTTCATGACGTCGACACCATCCACCTTCATGGCCTGGTTGCTGACGTTGCGCAGGGCAGCGTGGTAGACGGCACGGCCCTCGGTGAAGTTGATCTTCTCACCAGCGAACATGGCATCGCGCTTCTTCTCGACGCCAGCCTCCTCGGCGAGCTTCACAAGCTTGTCGAGGGTCTCCTCTGTGATGAGGTTCTTGCTGAAGTCGAAGATGATGTCGGTGCCATTGCTTCCGCTCGAGATGTCGGCGGGGAGGGTGATCTTGCGGGTGAACTTGTCGAATCTCTTGGGATCGTTCTTGAAGGCGTCCTTGAGGACGATGTTCTTCCCAACACTTTCGTGGTGGGAGTGGAGGTCAGACCAGGCCGAGAGGGAGGAAGCGGGCGCCATCTTGGTACAAATTATAGGAGGACGGGGGTTATTCGGTATTCGTGGGTAGTTGCTACAGGAAAGAGAATGGCGAACAGGAACGAAACTATGTAGTAGTCAAGTATTAATGGGCAAGCTTCGAGGATAGGTAGTGGGAAGTGTCAAGCTCTTGGGCCAGGCACAGGCGCATCAAGGTGGGGTGATTATATGTAAGTTCCGAGAGACGAGCTTGATGTGCCCCGCATGTGGACGGGAACCCAGAGCTTGGCTGGCAGTGAGTCCGGCACAGCAGAGAGAAGGTGACACGGTTGGTTTCAAGGTACCCGATATAAATAAATAAAAAGAGGCGCTTACCAGAAGCTTGGGGTATCTGCAGAATTGCACAGCAAACACAAAGTGGGAGAGAAACAAGAACGGGTGGTAGAGAGGTGAGGGAATAAGAAGGTTACTATCTATCACGACGGACGAAGCTTTGTTGCTCAGTCAGAACAATCAAGACCAAGACGACGCGGGGCACGGTGCACGTCACCACCCCACTCCGCAGAATGTCCGCCTCGAAACCCATCAGTCGCTCGAGGAATCCACCGTCCATTTTACCCAATTCGCTGGCCCCGGGTGCTGAATAAGAGCCTCACGGGCTAAATGGAAGCTGTGACATCCATTCCCTGTCATTCCGCTACATACGCATGAAGAGCCTAACATTGTTTGCTTATTGGTTTGTGGGTTTCTGCTGTCCTCGACTCGACTCGACTCGACCGGCCCCTTTTCAGCCAGCAAAAAAAACAAAAAAAATAAAGATATAAAAAAAAACAAAGACAAGAACAAGTGCCATAACAAGCCTTCATGGTCATGCCCAACTCCAAAATGTAGTGACAAAAAACACAAGACACAACAACGCCTTTCCGAAGCACAGCTCTGCGGGCCTCTGCTGCCCCCCACACACACCAGACGCACCGCACCACCTCTGCGCACCAATCATCCCCCCCTTGGAGCCTATCCCAAACCCACGTGGTATTGGGCTGGGACAGTCATTTTCTCTGTATATCCCTATCCCCTCATCCCTATCAGCCACTCTCCATCTGAAAATGAGCCGTTTTTTCCCCTCTGGTCATTTATCGGTCCTGGATGCTGCCGACAAAAGATGGATCCCTAACACTGCCACCAGCGTCGCCGAGACCGGCAATAGGACGGTTGTAACTGAAGCCAGTGAACTGGTTCTGCATCGTCTGGGAGAGAACAGGTCCCTCGACGTACGAATCTTGTGGCGGCTCCGAGGTGAATTCGGGGTCAAAGTTTGCCGTGTCCAGAGCATCAACCTACATGTGGTTAGTAATAGACAAGTACATCGTGGGACAGAAGCAAAACTTACCACGCTGGGCTTGAATGTGGGCTCATACTTGCGCTGAAGCAGCTTGCGCCAATCTATGGCATGGAAAAAGGGGTGAGCCTTGATCTCTGCGGAGCCGTTCGCACCAAGACGCTGTTGGGGATCGCGGTTGAGGAGCTTAGTGAGCAGGTCCTTGGCGGCTGGCGGTACAACCTCCTGGCTGGGGAAGTGCAGAGGCTCGCTGAGAATCTTGCGGTACATCTCGTTGGTGTTCTCATCGTAGAAGGGAGGCAGACCCGTCAACATCTCGTACAAGAGAACACCGAGTGTCCACCAGTCGACTGTCTTGTTGTAGCCGTTACCCATCAACAATTCAGGCGCCAGATACTCGGGGGTGCCGCAGAACGTGTTGGTACGGTCTTCATCCTTCATGTCAAGCTTGCACAGGCCGAAGTCGCACAAGGCAATGTGACCTTGATAGTCGAGAAGAATATTCTCGGGCTTCAGGTCACGGTAAATGACGTTGAACCCGTGCAGACACTCGAGAGCACACAAAAGCTCGGCGGTGTAGAATCGACTGCGGTTAACGTCGAACCGCTGCTCCTTTTGCAAGTGGTGGAAAAGCTCGCCGCCGTTGACAAAGGCCAAGACGAAGTAGAGCTTCTCGGGGCTCTGGAAGGTGAACTTGAGCGGAACGATAAAGGGATTGTTGATCTGGGCGAGCACCGATCTCTCGGCGAGAGTATGCGCCACTTCAGACCGAGAGATGATGTGGGCTTTCCGGATGGTCTTCAGGGCGTAAATCCGGTTTGTGTCCTTCTTCTTTACCTGCATGACCTTGCCGAAGCTGCCCTTGCCCACCACCTTGAGGAGCTCAAAGTCTTCAATCTTGAGCTTTCCAGCTCTGTTCTCCACGTACTCGACGCCAATCTTGATCTTGCCGGTGCCATATTGCACGTCCACCCACTCCACACCAGTCTGTCCGAGCGTCTTTTCCCGGTTGGCGTGTTCGGCCGCGGCCTTTTCCCGGTCCTTCTTACTGGCCTTGGGATCCTCAACGTATGGTTGCTTCTCCTCGAATCTGGGGTTAATACGGGCCACACCGAGGAAAATATCCTGGCTGCGGCCGGATCCCGGTGGCGCATTGGGATTGCGGATATAAAGATGAATCACCAACTCTGTTACTCTGGAAACATCGAACTTGTATTGGGTGTTGGAGCCGGCCCAGAGAGGGTTCTCGGGTGTTCCTTCGACCGAGTTGACAAACACTTGCAACTTGTCGAAATCGATCAGGGCATAGGGCATGTACTTGGACGAGATACGACCGTGGTTGGTGGGGATGCCGGAGAAACCGCCCGAGGTCTGGGGCCTGCCCATGAAACCCGAGGTCCTCGAGGAAGACGAGGGGCGGATCGAACTTGACATGTTGAGAGCATTTCCGGTCGACAGCGAGTTGCCACCATGTGCTGGGTTGTTGAAGGAAGCGCGGTGCTGTTCGGGGAGGGAGAACCCTTGACCTTCGTGAAGGGTAACGACAAGAATACCGGGCTTGGGAGGGGCAACGACGGGAGCTTGCGTAAGGGCTTCCGAGGCCGCTAGACAAAAGGTCAGGTTAGATTGGGCTCTGTTCGCGAAAGGGCCAGGGAATAGTCATAGAAGAAACGCACCGATGGTGTTCTCATTTGTGGGTGTGACAGCACCAGAGATGTCCCCTTGGCTCTTGCTGTCCTTGTCTGTGATGGTGGAGGTTGAAGGTGACCTCGAGAAGGTGCTCGTGAGGGGTCCCAGATGGGTTTCCTTCAGCTCTAAGGGGTGACTTGTGTTAGCTGACTCGAGAACAGAGACGAAGATGCGACGCAGAAGTGGCCCATCGTGGCCGAAGCCAGGCGTGGAACTAAGTGGTCGCGGGAGTTGCGGTGGTGCTTGACATACTCTTGGTGAGTTTCCACGACATTTTGCAATCTGGTGAGGCCGTCGGCCTGTAGACGGGATATGGTAGGGAGGGTGTTGCTGCGACCGCAGACGGGCGTCGGTCTGTCGAAAAGGGCTGCAGCTAAGGTAGGAGACTGAGGTTCTAGGTACTGGATAGGTACGGGATAGGTACGGAAAGATACTGTCAACAAGCTTGCTTGCTCGATTCTTTTCTTGGGTGGGTTTGTGGTTTGTGGTTTGTGGTTTGGGTTGGATGCGGTGCGGTGCGGTGCGGCAAAGGTAAATCGTAAGGAGGAGAGCACCTTCTCTTCTTGCCGTCAGTGTTAGGGATTGTTAGGGATGAGGATGGGGTGTCCAGTGCGCACGGCGCTGGTTCGAAACCAAGCAGTGTGGGTCGAGGGGCTAATTGTGCGCTGAGCGCTATTCCCCCCATTCCCCACTGTTGACCACCCACTACACTTCCAGTTGATGCGTTGTAAGAGCTTTGTCTGAGACCGTGGACCCAATGGCGCTCTTGTTTTTTTTGTTTTTTTGTTGTTTTTTTTACGGATTCTCTTCACTGCATATGCCCAATGCGACGGTGCCAATTGTTCTGGAAATTTAGAGACCTTCTTTTGCTCAACTCAGAGAGGATCTGACAGCAGGACCACCTCACCTACTGTGGATAGAGACGAGCTGATGGCACCCCCATGCCGGATTGAGGTGGCAGTCCAGCCATGAATGACAGCCCCGCACTTCCAGGTTGTCGTTACGCAGCTGAACCTTGAATCTAGGATTTGGCTTGCAGAAGAAAAACACCACGGCAACATCTATGTACCGTGTAGAGTACCAGAGAAGCCATCTCCTGGTGACGACGTACTGCGCGATAAGCCAGCCATGCTGCTCCCTTGCGTCCTCACCTCACACCACAGAGTGCACGAGAACGACGAGCCCCTCATTGTTTGTTCCACCCGAAACGGTGCGGGAGCGAGGGGCGGCTCTCCGGCTCCGTAATGCACGGAGTAGCCGTAGACTACGGAGTCGATCAGCCACTCGCCATTGGCAACACAGCCTCGACGATGGCAAATTCCAGCCCCTTTTTTCTGAGGGGTTGCCGAAGGAGATTCAAGACAGAAGCAACCCCGTCACGTGGCGCTAACCGAAAATCGTCAATCTCCAGTGCCCCGGCAACCTGGTCACCGTCATCAAAAGGTTTCACCGATCAACAAGAATGAAACCCCGAAATATCTCATCAAATACCAACACCATGGTATTTGAACTGATGAAGAAATAGTAACAGCACCATCGACACCTGATCTTGCATATCCGTACATACAACAACACTGCATCACTGGCCCCTATTCCCGCATGCCAAGGATTCCCTCCTTTATGTCTGCCCTAACTGCGCTGAAGTCTGATGCGTCTCGGGCAACATATCCTTCATCTGCGACATCCCAAATTTGGCAGCCTTGTTCGTATCCAGATATTACACATATTCAACCCATGACAAATACTATGGGTTAGGGTTATGGCACCTTCATGAGTCGATCCGGGTAAAGAGTTGACCTTTCGCAGCTCATAAGGTACCGTAGCATCCATCTCATGGCTCACAATCTGAACACCCCGGGCATATCCCGAGACAACCAGTTTTGTCTCTGGGTGACTATCGTTGGATCGACGTCTTGTGGTGGTGATTATGAAGGCTCGTCTTGCTGCAGTAGTGGTGATGGGATAGCCAATGCCAGGGTGAGCAGGGCCAGGAGTGGGATTCTCATCGTGACTGATGCTGACTGTGCAACTCTGAGAGAATATCTCAGTTGGTGGATATATTCCAATCCCTCGACTGGCTCCAACCGTCTTGCTACCTTTGATGAACATGAAAAACCTGCAGCTCTTTCTGGCTCGTTCTTTCCGTTTGATCCCCCCTCGCTCTTTCCACCTTCCACTGTTGTTGCCATTCGCTCCTTCCTCTTTCCAGCACCGTTCTTTCCAATTTCACTCCTTCCTCCCCTTGGTCCTTCCGCCATCGTGGTTCCTTCCACTAGTGTCCTTCTCATCGTTCCTTCCACCTCACTTCTTCCCCCACTTACTCCCCCTTCCCCTTCTCCCTCCCTCCCTTCTCACCCGCAAACAAACAAATCCAAACCCTCACCACCGCCGGCCCAGCAGCAGAAACAGCAACAGCCCAATCAAACAGATTCCACCCCCCCACCCCCAAAAACCTCTCCCATCCCCCGACAGCCTGCACGGCAGAGACGTGATAGACAAGATCACTGATTAACATCCCCCAGCACATGAGCTTCCACAACTTCAGGTCGTCGTAGAGCCATAGAATGACTGATTCGTTGAAGGCAAACACCAGCCATGCGCCTGCCAACTGAGTGTAGAGGTATTGATTCTGGGGGGAGAAGGGCGGGGACCATGAGGGGGGATGGGGGCGGGCGATGGCGCTGTGGTAGGAGGAGGGGGTGAAGAGGGTTAGGTAGGCGCCGTTTAGGGCGCCGAGGGGTTCCAGGAGGAGGAGGACGAGGCGGAGGGGGAGGGGGATGGTTGTTGATGCTTTGGGTGGGGACATGGTGGGGTGAATAATGGATACCTAGGTTCTGGGAGGTGAGAGTTGAGTTGAGAGGGAGGGTTTATAGGTTTCGAGGGGTGCTGTGGGAGGTAGGTAGTTTCTTTGTTTGACATGGGTCTCTGAGGTCAGAGTCTGAGGTAAGCCCTAATAGCAAGGAGGTTTTGCGGGGGTGTTAGAGGTGGCGATGGCTCAGATCGGACTTTTGTGGTAGCACAGCTGAAGAAGCGTTCTGACAGCGATGCCAGTGGCCTGGATCGTGATTGTGGCTGCATTTGGTGTGTGGCATCTTCAAGGTGTGGTGATCGTGGAGGTGTGAGATCGAAGGATTGGATTGGAGCGGCTGACACGGGGGTGAGCTGTGGCTGGTGATTACTTGTCAAAGCTGCAATGATTCAAGCACCCACGCTACATGGTGAATTTTGAGAAGGAGCTGTCGGTAATGTGGTAATGTGGTGATGTGTCAAGTTGTCAATGTGTTGATCTGCTAAAGAGCATACTTCCCCCCCTCCTGGCATCTCTCTCTCACCTCACCTCCCCCTCACTTTAACCCTCATCGGCATCCCCCCCTTCGGATGTCCCGCCAACCCCCCAACCATATAAACCCTCTGTCCCCACAACCTCTTCCCCCCCTCCATAAACACGCTTTCGTCCACCTCAAAATCAAACTCCCTCACCGTCAGCCCCAGTATCATCCTCAACTCCATCATCGCCAGTTCCTGCCCTATACACGCCCTCGGTCCCAGCTCAAACGGCCGGAAGGCGTTCTTGCCTACATACAACTCCTCCCCTTCTTTTGCGAGGAACCTCTCTGGGAGGAATTCTTCGTTGCGGGGGAAATACTCCTCTAATTTGTGGGTGGCAAATGTCGCGCCGATGACGAGGAACCCGTCGGTGGGGTAGGTCTTGCCTGTTTTGTGGTTGTGGAGGGTTACGTCTGGGCGGCCTTGACGGACAGTCAGGGCAGGAGGGAAGATGCGGAGGGTTTCTTTGATTACGGCTGTTGTATAAACCAAGGAGTTCAAGAGTTGGGGGTTGGCGGCGATTTTAGCTGCTGCTTGAGAGGGGTCAGGGCCGAGGATGGCGTCGTGTTCAGAGCGGAGTTTAGCCAGACATTGGGGGTTCTGGGACAAGAGGTAGTAAGCGAAACAGAGGTTGGTGGCGGTGGTGTCGTGGCCGGCGAAGATGAAGATTTTGAGGTGGGGGATGGTGCGGTTGAGGAAGGCTTCGAGGTCGAACTTGGGGTTGGAGTCGGGGTTCTCGGCCAGGTAGGCTTTGACGGCGAGGGAGAGGATGGTCTTGTGGAGGGTGGTGGAGGTTTCGTTGGAGAGGTTCTCTCTTACGGCTGGGGCGAGGACGTTACGGATGATGCGCTCTAGTCGCCAGAGGTCGTAGAGACGGAAGGGGTTCAGGAGTTTGACGAGGGCGTCGGGGGTTCGGTTGGGGATGAGCCATTTGACCTGGTCGGCGATTGCTTTTTCCAGAGGGTTGCCTTCTGCTTGGCACTTGAAGTTGTTGCCCCTGAACAGGTGAGTGAATGGTCACTCAAGCAGCTGGCAAGTAGGCTTTGCTCGACTCACAAGACAGCACGACCAATGACATCAATCGTCAAATTTATAGCCAACTGCTGCATCTTGACGACCTTCCCTGACTTGGCAACCTTCCTCAGATGCCTCTTGAAAATATCGATCTCCTCAATGAACTCCGGAGCCATCGTCGCAACATTTTTGGCAGAGAAACCGGGGTTGTAAATCGCCCGCCATCTTTTCCACTCAGGCCCATCCATCGTCAACAAGTCCTTGCCCTGGAACATGGGTGTGAACATGTCTTTCAGCTGATTCGATTTGGGGAGAGTCTTTGCCAACACCTGCTGATTGGAAAACTGAGACACTATCTCGGGATCCATAACATAGAGAATGGGATCAATCATCGGCCAGACATCCATCACGATAACGCCATCTTTTATAATATCTGAGTGTTGGCGCAGAAATAGTGACGTGAGTGTTAGGCGGTTGATCTCCATTGGGACATCTTTGAAGGCTTTGCCGCTTTCGATCATGTGGCCAAAGATGAAGTGGTGAGGCATGCCCGGCTGCAGACAAGGTTAGTGAGATCCCATCCATGTATCAGGAAGTAGCGAAACTGACTGTGTTGGTATCTTTGGCGTACTTTCGGATCTTCATGCGTACGGTGTAGAGCCGGTAAACAAATCGAACAAGAAGGAGCACAACGATGTAGCCGGCTGTCCTGCCCACCAGGGCAAAGGAAAGCGATGCCATCTTGGAGTACCTAGTTCAGCTTTTCGCCTGGCTCAAGGAAAGGCGAGGAGCAAAATCAAAAAGAAAAAAACGTTGATGCTCCGGGGGCAAGTTGAATTTATGGTATTGGGCTAGACACGACCGGGGAGCGGCCAAGGATGCTGACATTCTTTCCTAGATGTCACCATGATATGCAAAACCCATGCGCCAACGACCAACAACGACCAACAACGTTGACTAGCTCCAACAGCAACCGGGAAACACGCGTGTTCAGATGCATAGAGTCACAATAACGCTGGCATTATCTGCCTAGAAGTCGCTCCAGGTGACAGCGCTTACAACCAAGGGCTAAATTAGAAGTTGTCACTTTGGCAGCGTCCTCGAAGCCTGCCAATCTTGGTAGGTAGCCAGCCTGATTTGACTATAAAAGGAGTCTGGCTAGCTAGCAGGGCATGGCGTGTCTTATCCGGTGTGGTCTAGCCGTCCTAGGCAAAACATTCGAAAACATTACAATATACGAAAATCGCAGCCAAAAACTGGGCCTGTTTCGTGCCAAGTAATACAGCAATATCTCAACCTACCCACGTATAATTGATGATGGTTTGAATGATGCTCCAATTCCCAGACCTTCGTAATCGCTGGCTTCCAAAGGCCTGGTACTTACCATTGAATTGTAAGGGCCCATTGAACTATAAGCGCATTGAACTGTGAGGGTTACTGCCCATTGAACTGCGGCCACCGCAGCCATCGCCAAACCACCGATTGTAGCATCATGGCCAGGATCTCAGGCCTCAATTGTTCAGGCCCGTCAAGTACGAACCTTTGGCAAATGCAAGACGAGAGCACTGACAATGGGAAAACCCAGTTTTCCCATGCAAAATGTGGCTTTTGCGATGTTCATACACCCAAAGGTTAATTTCTGCCCAATTTGCCCAGGACGGTTAGACCACACCGGATAAGACACGCCATGCCCTCCTGGTTAGCCAGACTCTATAAAAGTCTATCTGATGTGTCCTGCCTGGGATGAACATGAAGTCTACCCAAGTACACTCGGCATTATGCAAGGTCGACACTAAACCCGAACCTAGCCAGAGAACCGGAACACCACGTACACACGACAAGGCAAATCAGATCAAGAAGCGAAGTGTTGTGTTTCAGCCCTGCGGCTTATGATTGCTGCATTACATTTGCAAATATATTCCAAAAGCTAAATGCCTACCCAATAAATACCCCAAAAATATTTCCAAACATATGTATCATTTGCCCAAAAAAAAGCTTTCATCATCTATGTTCATTGACTCCCCCTTGTCCGAAAACTATCCATCTCAAAAGAAAAGTGTACTTTTTTAAAGAAGAACAGCAGCCAAACCAGCCACCGCAGCGAGCAGACCCTCAACAGGGCCAACAGCACGGCCAGCACCGGCTGTCACTGGGGTGTTGGTTGTGGAAGGGAGGTCAGTCACAGCGGGAACGGTGACTGTGCCGAAGGAGGTGGGAACAACGACGACGGGGGGCTCAACATCGGGACCACCGGTGACATCAGGGCCGTCAGTAACGACGGGGGGCTCCTCGCCGCCAGGACCGCCAGTGACGATGGGCTCCTCCTCTTCGGTGGTGGTAGGGGGAACCTCTGGACCGGGGCCGCCGGTAACCTCGGGACCATCGGTGACGACGGGAGGCTCCTCCTCAGGCTCCTCGGTGGTGGTAGGAGGAACTTCGGGACCGGGACCACCAGTAACCTCAGGGCCGTCAGTGACAACAGGGGGCTCCTCCTCATCAGTGCTGGTAGGGGGAACCTCGGGGCCGGGGCCGCCAGTGACCTCAGGACCGTCGGTGACGATGGGGGGAGTGACCTCGCCGCCCTCGGTGGTGGTGGGGAGGGCAGGAACGTCAGTCACGGGGCAGACGGTGGTGGTGACGATGGTCTCGGTGGTGACAATGACGACGCCGCCGGTGGGGCAGGCGGGAACAGTCGAGGGGCACTGGGTGATGGTCTTGACCGTGGTGGTGGTGATGGTGCTGGTGGTCCACTCCTCGGTGGTGGTGGTGCCGGTGCTGTCCTCGTCTTTGGTGGTGGTAATGGTGGGGGTATCGGTCACGCTGGGTTCCTCGGTAGGCTCATCGGTGGGAGTAGCAGTTGGCTCCTCGGTGGGCTCCTCAGTGGGCCCATCAGTACGAGTGGCAGTAGGCTCCTCAGTGGGTTCCTCGGTAGGCTCGGCAGTAGGAGTGGCAGTGGGCTCCTCGGTCTCGGTGGGAGTAACAGTAGGCTCCTCGGTTGGCTCGTCAGTAGGAGTAACGGTAGGCTCATCAGTTGGGGTCACAGTCGGCTCATCCGTAGGAGTAGCGGAGGGCTCGGTAGTAGTCTCGTCATCCTCGCAGTAGTCGTCATCGGTGGTGGTAGGTCCACCGGTGGGAGTGGCTGTGGGCTCCTCAGTGTCGGTAGGAGTGACGGTTGGTTCCTCAGTGTCAGTGGGAGTGGCAGTTGGCTCCTCAGTAGGCTCCTCCGTGGGCTCATCGGTAGGAGTGGCGGTAGGCTCCTCCGTGTCCGTAGGAGTCACAGTAGGCTCATCGGTAGGAGTGACGGTGGGCTCAGTGGTGGTCGTCTCGTCGTCCTCGCAGTAGTCATCATCCGTCGTGGTAGGCGCCTCAGTCTCGGTCGAGGTAACAGTTGGCTCATCAGTGGGAGTCACAGTTGGCTCGTCGGTGGGAGTGACAGTTGGCTCCTCAGAGTCGGTGGGAGTGGCGGTAGGCTCCTCAGATTCAGTGGGGGTGACAGTGGGCTCGTCGGTAGGAGTGACAGTGGGCTCGTCGGTAGGAGTAGCAGTGGGCTCCGTGGTAGTAGTCTCGTCATCCTCACAGTAATCATCCTCATCGGTCGAAGTGCTTGTTGGCTCCTCGCTGGTCCAGGTCTCCGAGATGGTGTATGTCTCGATGGTGGTGGTAGTGGGCTCGACACTTGGCTCGGTTGTGGGCTCAGCGGTAGCGGTAGCCGAGGTGTGCGTCATGGTGTACACAATGCACGAGCAGACCGAGCTCACAGACTGGACACTGCCATCGCAATTGTAGAAATTAGTTGGGATGGCGATGGCCGCTGTGGTGGTGCCGGCAATGAAGCCGGGGCAGAAGGCCGAAGCCTCGGCCGCGTAGTTGGCGTCGATGAGGTTGCGGTAGCAGTTGTCCTCATGCTATTCACCTTGTTAGCTGTCATCTCATCTCTCATGATAAACATCAGACGAACGTGTGGTTCCTTACACAGTCGGGCCATTCGGTGGCGGCACCCAGACCCACGGCCAGGGCGCCCAGAGACAAAGTAGAAACGCGCATGTTTATGTACCCCTTTTCTTTCCCAGAGAGCGAATGACTAAATCGACACAAGAAGGCAGACGAGAAACGAACGACTGCGGGACCCGAAGGTCTATGTACGAGATTTCAATGCTGGGTGAGCGGAAGGTGAGGAAAGGGAACCCCAGATCCCGAGGAGGTGGGTGGACCAGCATCTTTATCTCTTGCCCAGCATCTCGTTTCCTTCTACCCTTTCTTCTCCTTCCAAAAAGTCCATAGTTTGATGCCGAGCCCCGGCTCGCAGGCGCCGGAGGGCACTCCACACACACACCTGGAGCGCGGCGTCAATACGAAGCCAGCCTTTTTTTGGAGCAACGATTGGACCGTCCCAGACCACGCGAGGTCCCGGTCGACAGGGGTTGGTGATCTCCACCAAGGACTCAGCTCTTGGGCGACAGCGGTCCAATCTTTGTCGCCGCCAGCGCCCGGTGGAGATTGCAGTTTTCCTTTCCAGAGCTTCCCTTCAAACTGCATAATAATGGCTTGCCATGCGGGTGGAGATGATGATGATGATGATGATGATATTGGATGGATGTTTGTCCGATGGCAGAGCTCCCATTGTGCCTGGTACCTGGATCGATCGGCACAGCAACAAAGAGAGAGCGAGAGGGTGAGCGAGAGAGAGAAGGAACGAGAGAAAGGAACAATGCAGCACGCCGCAGGGTACAGTGCAATGCAGATGGCCACTCAATTCAAGACCAACACCGGCCAGTCAATCGCGGCCACCGCAGCTTTCTCCACACTGTTGACTGCAGTGGGCTGAGCACATCACCAGCCTCTGATTGGACGGCCAAGACGTTGCTCGTTTTTTGACATCTGTGTTTGGTACCAAGAGAATCACCTCAGATGCCGTCGTGGAATATTGAAAAGTCTCAGGGCCAACACGACCACCTGCAGAGCAAATCACCTGAGACATGGAGAATCCTTTGCGGAGAAGAACTTTCTCAACGTGCCCGACTGACATGGAGGAGGGTCCTGCCCAATTGACGTCAGAATGGGACGGTAACAGCGAACACCGGCACTGATTATGGCCTGTCATCGCTTCTCTCCACCATCAGTCTGGGGCAGTTGTAAGGGTATTCTTACATTCTCAACATACCATTAGATAATAGGTCTTTTTTGGTCCTCGCATCTTTGGGTAGAAACACGATGACTGCATCCCTCAGGCACCGAGGGGGCACCACACAAACACTCGCCTCCGACAGCAACATCGGATCTGTGGATTCAATACTACCCCGCCGCCAGTTGCCTGTTGCTGACATATACCGGGCCAAAAGCCGGGCGATCGTATCATGATACAGTTCTGACAGCTGTGCCGGAATGGCAGTGAGGCCTTGTTAGTTTGACATTTTGTTTGTATTTTTAGTGCTAGAACCAGTCCGGCCATATTGCGGTATTACTTGCTGACAAAGGTGGGTGTTACAGCTTTTGACTTTGCATCAGTAGAATTAAGATTGCAATGTAAGGTAGTAAACAAACTCTTACATTCAACCTGTTCCCGTCGGTCCTGAGGGGAGACCATCAGCACACGAATAAACCCCGTGATTATACCCGTCCAGTTCGCATTGCCTCTTACACCTTCAGCTCACCACTGCGGCGCCAAAACCCCAACCCCCATCCCAACCCGGCGTTTACGGATATTGCCCCTACAAATGGAAACGGCAAAAAAGGGGGCACGTAACACAACCTCAATCCTTCCGCCCCAACGCCAGGTCCGAGTGTCCAACGTCCATCCCAAGCTCAGAGGTGGCACAACTTTCGACAGACGGCTACGCAAAGGAACAATCCAATATTACAACTCTAGAAATAAAAAGCCACAGCCAGCCACAACTACTCATGCCAGGCATCACAACGTAATGAAAAAACAAAAATCATGAATCCGGAAGGCCACGAGTGCAAAGGAAGAGAAAGGTGCTCGAAGTCAAAGACACGGGACGGAAAGCCTCAGATCTTCGAGTTTCAGATGTTTCACCTTACCCATTCCTCAAAGAATACCACAAAAGAATTATATACCAAGAAAACCACGCGATTTTATCAAAGAGCGTGCATGAGAACATCGTGGCAATAGGACTGGAGAAAGTCTTGTTGAAATTCATGGCAACTCCTGCCAAGGAGGAAAAATACCTCGATCAAAATGAATCTCGAGATGGATTGATGATCAACACTGTGCAACAATGCACATGAGAAAGAGACTGATATTCTCCTCTTACTTGGCAGGAGATCAACCTTTCTAAGGTAGGTAAACAGATGAGTCGGTATTTACGTACTTCTCGAAGCCGACAGCTTCACTATAAACCCTCCCTCAAAGCTAACTATCTACATCCACAAAAGAAACAACCCCATGCGGCCAAGAATCCCATTCTCCTTCACCAGAAAATAACCACAAAACAACATGGTTCGCTCTGTTCATTCTATTTTCAGTTCCCCTTTTTTCGATTTTGCAGCCTCTCTTCATCGGCAAAAAGAAGAAGGCAAACTGCCTCCTCCCACCACTCACTCACCGGTTTTCATCCATAGAAAAGCAACAACAAACCTTCAACACAGTAATTCTCTTGCAAAACACTGTACCAACAACAAAGAACCCAGAACACTCACCCAATCACCAACCACCACCACCCCATCCACTTCTCACTTCATCATTTTTCCCTCTCAGCCTCAACACACGACTCAGAAACCCCTTCAGCTGAATCCAAAAAGCACTCCTCGCGTCATCCCCCAGTAAACAAAAACCCTCACTCCTTCCTCAGCCTCCTGAATCCACACCTACCAACCACTCGGTATTCCGTGGAAAAAGCGAGCCATCAGCCCAAAAGAACAACAAGGGATCCCTTCAATCCAAATCCTCACTGCCAAAAGTGCCAACTCGAATTACTTCATCATGGCCAGTGATTCCAAAATCACCAGCTCACTAGTGGGCACCTGCTTCCCAGCCATATGCCAGGTTCTTCAATGGACAGACCAGCTTCGTGCCAGTGGTGGTAGCAAAACACGACTCGACAAGTCAGAAAATAACAAGGCGGGAGAGGAGTCTAACAGTTGCGTTCTGTATTATGATTCATCGTGTACCTTTCTCATTTCATACCCAATCACACAACCCATCATCAAAGCGTACATAGTCTTCCAATCTAGGATCGCAAACTCTTCATTCAGATCACACTCCCGCCACCCCTCCCTTTTTTGACATCCACTTTATCAACTTTCTCCCGTCGGCCCAGCTCTCACCACCTCCCCCTTGTCCAACACAACCTCCCAATCCGCCCCCTCCACCGCCTCCGCCTTGTGCGCAATCGTAATGACGGTAGAATACCTCAGCTCCTCCCTCAACAGTCGCTGGATATACCTCGCCGTCTCCCCGTCAATACTCGCCGTCGCCTCATCCATAATCACCACCGGGCTCCTCCTCAAAATCGCCCTCCCCAACCCCACCAGCTGCCTCTGCCCCTGAGACAAATTCTTTCCCCCTCCATCCACCGGACTGTCGAGCGTGAAATCCCCCGACATCCCCAGCACCCGTTGCAACACATCCGCTCGTTCGGTCTCCCCTCTCTCGTCAAGCGGGTCGAGATTATCCCTTAGTGTACCGGCGAACAGAACCGGGTCTTGGGCGACAAATGTGATGTTCTTTCTCAGCGCGTGTTTGTCAACGTCCGCAAGGTCGACGTTGCCAATGCGGATTGACCCCCCTGTACCCGCGTCGGGGTGTAATGTCCCCAGTAGACTCAATGCCAGTGTACTCTTTCCTGACCCAGTGCGACCAGTAACAGCCACGTTGCGAGTGCCGCCTGGAATGGCAAAGGTGACATTCTTGAGCACGGGTTCAAACTCTGGCGCGTACCGCAAAGTAACATTGTCGAATACAATAGCATCCCCATACAAAGGCCAGGCAGCTGGCGGTTTGAAGCTCCCCTTGGGTTCCTGCTCCAGACTCAGCAGCTCAACGATGCGCTCGACGCTGACAAACTGCATCTGCAGCTCGCCATACCGACGACAGAGGCTGTGAGTCGACCTGACAAAGTTCGCCGCCGAAGCAAGAACAAACCCGACGGTACCACCCGAGAGACCCGAGAGGACGGCCGTGAGGGTCAACGCAAAGGTGGTGAAGGCGGAGAGCAAGTCGAAGCGGTACTGAAGCCAGCTTTGTAACGACCAATAAAAGTGGTCCATTCGCTGGAAGGAGTCGGTGGTGAAAACGATGCGGTTTTGGTAGTGTGGCTGGGCCCGGAAGGCGCGAACCGTCGCGAGCCCTTCGAGGAGCGTGCCAAAGTTGGACATCAGCGGTGATAACGACACCGTCTCGAGTCTTCGCAATGACTGAGAGGTGGGGAGGAAGCTGTCAAAAATCCAGAAGAAGATGCCTGTCATGATGACGCTAATAACAAGGAATGACGGCGTGATGGTGGCAATCACAGTGATGGCAGACAGCCAGGCAAACGTGGACCATGTCACAGTCTGCAGCAATACGGCCACGCTTCCATCAACGGTGCCCATGTCAGACGTGAGCCTGTTCATCAGCCTCCCCACTGGGGTGACGTCGTAGAACCGGAAGGTGGCGTTGGAGACGCGCTGCATGGTCTCGCGGAACAGGTTCTTGCCAGCTTCGTAGATGATGCCCACGAGGGCAACATCAGAGCACGTTACCGTAAACACCTGGATGAGGGAGAGTACCAGGAGGCCGACAGCCCAGGGCATCACGTTGTCGGCTGGCGAGGGTAGATAACGACTCAAGTCAAGCCAGCTCTTCAAGCCACCAACTCGAGATTGCTGGAAGACGTGTTGAGAGAAGACTGCTTGTTGAAGATCGTCTGGGTGACCGCTCAGCCCAAGAGCATGTAGGCGGTGAGCATTCGCCGGCTTGTCATCGTATCCCTCACCCCATTCCTTGAGGAACCAAAAGTAGCCAACCTTGGCAGCCCTAAACGCAATAAAGAAACCGATCATGGTAAACCACCAGGCAATCCTGCCAGCCTTGATGTATCGCCAGT